CGTAGATCGCGAGAAGAACCGGCGCAGAGAGGAAGTATGAAGACAGAGACAAGATGGCCACGATGCTCCTCTTTCATCGGCTCGTTTGCTCCAAGGCAAATAAACTCCTCCTGAGAATTCGTGGTCTACAACATCCACCGCGTGGCCTAACATCCTTAGTCACCATTTTTCTAATGTCTAATTTAACCGATAACGAATAAATTAGTGATAAAAATCTATTAATTTCCTATCTCTTATTCCAATTAGTAATATAAGAAAAAGGGAAAACTGTGCAACTTTTTCTGAAAATTAATATCTATTATTGATAGAAGCAATTAAACCGTTGATTTTCTCATATTTATAAATAAATTAGATAAAATTTCTAACATCAGAAACTAATTTCTTGTACGGGATAAATCATAAAGCAAATAATTGCGTGATCAGATACAAGTATGTACAAAGATCTGATTTCTAAAATAATCATTTAAAAAATTTAAGAAAATTTTCTGAGCCAAAAATTTGAATTTTTTCCAAAATATAAAATTTATTATATCATATTCTTTTTAAACCCAATATTATTGAGATAAAATAAAAAAGCAGGAAAATAACATTTTTAAAAAACATTTTACGTGTAAAATTTTTTTATCAAAGTATTCTAAGAATTAAAAATATGCGATTTATCTGTACCTTCTGTAGATCTGTACGCAATTTTTGAAGGTTCGTAATGCAATAGTTAAATTATATATAAGTTGTAAACAAATTCTATAGAAATTAATTTACCTAAAAATTTATTTTAAAATTAATTAGCATTTGCGCGTTTTTTCAACGGATGTACTATTTTTTTCGATGGGATCCCAGAATGAACTCTTGTAATTTACGAGCAAAATTTCTTTTTACGACCTCTCGAAAGAGAGAGAGTGCCATCCTTTCGAGACCAGTCTCTCAAGGATCGCAATAAACTTAAGCACGTGGAACGGGACACCGTGATAAGGCATGAACTCTTCCTTTCTATCGTTGCTGGTCATTCGACACTCGGTCACGTGTGAAGCCGAATAAACATCTCTTCCCGATGGAAGCTTCGATCACAGATCGACTTGGTATCGAGTGATGATTGTCTGGCAAGTATCGTTAATAAAAGACATACGAAGGTCTTTATGTGCAGCAATAAGCACGACAGGAAATGATTTTGAAAAATCACAGAGTATGTCGCAAATTATAATTACATCAGAATCAAATTAGAAAGACAGTACAATAATTCATTATTCAATGTTTCAAGAAAAGAAAAAGTATGTTAGCAGTCTATTTATAACTGTCTATGAATGTTCACTAAATATATAAATATTAAGGAATATATATGTTGGTAAATGTTTCTTAACGTATTAATTTAATACTTTTATGAAAATATATTGTTATTAAAATAAGTTGTGCCAAACACTTCCTCTCAAAATATTCAATTATGTAATATCTATTATATAATGTATGTTTAAATAACAATTCAATATATTGTATATAATAAAATTTCCAATATTTTAAGATTTAAAATTTTAAATAAATATCCTTTTATATTTTCTTAAAGATTAAAATATAATCTGAAAAAAACTTGCATAGATCGAATTTTTAGATTGAATGTGCTAATAATTATAAAAAATTAAAAAGATAAAAATCCATATAAAAATCTGTTAAAATTAAGAATGTGGAAAGAAAAGTTAAACAATTTTTAATTTAGTTGGATAAATTTGCAAGCTCGCGAGAAACTTTTTAATTAATAAATGTCAATCATTAAATTTTATATAAATTATCTAAATTAATTTACAATTTACTCATTGATTTTAGATAAAAATAATAATATTTTTACGAATTTATTTATTATTAAAGATATCACAAATTAAGAAATTTTATTTCAGGCATGCTGCATGCTATAAATGCAATAAATGTTTTTAGGATTTTTATTTGGCGGCCGAATATATTGGAAACAAATTAAGAAGTTGACTTGGTGATGATACTTTAGTTTTTTAAAATGCTAATTCCGGGATCAAAGATGTGGTCCGGGATTTTATTCCCTATGCATGCTGCACATATGTACTGTAAAAAATTAATTTTTCCCGAAACCCTCTTCAAAATTAATTTACAAATTATTATTCTATCAATATTTTTTATTTAAAAAATTTAACTTCTAAATTGAATTAAAGAATATTTTTTTAATGATAGTAATTTTAATCAAAATTTTAAAAAATCATGTATAAAAGACAGAAGTAGCGAAATCGTTCAACTTCTTCAAAAAAATTTTTGCTTTGCTGAAAAAAATTGCATTTTGCGACGTGACTTCGCCTTGAAGAAATAACATAAGGCGGTTCTATAAACGGGCGGAGCAAACGAACAGCATCTCGTTGGTTAAGAGATGGACCAATTGCTTCTCTCCATCTTCCTCATCATTTGCATCCACAGCTGTGCATCGCGGCTCCGAAGACGGATACATTACTCAGCATAGATAGCAAAATCTTGCGAAGCGATACTCACTTGTAATTTTCAAGTAATTTTCAACAAAACACGAGTTGCTTGTATAAAGAATAGGTATCAGTTGCTTTAGCATCGCTTACATTGCCGTGAATTTTATGGAAATTTTCACTTACGAATATAGTTCATTTAACATTTACTATGACCACAAATTTATATATAATTATTAGTGTATTATATATTCGATAAAAACCAATATTAATATAATGATAGATGCATATGCAACATCCTAGAATCAATGTATCCATAATATCCACTTTTCGCCTATTTTGATTCAATTTGGATTTCAGATTTTTCTTATCAAAATGCAATTGTCAAAATCATATGATAAAACCACTTATTTTTCTATTCCTTTTTTCAACACTGATTTAGTAATACTAACAAATAATTTTTTATCTTTTTGATATATTTGGTTACACTTTAATCGATATATGCTTTGCTGAGTAAGCTCTTTCTGAATTTTTATTGTGATTTCAATAAAATCAATGTTTTGTCGACATTGTGTGTGAACGTACGTAATTTTTGATAAAATTATAATTTTTAGAAACAATCAAATCATATTTTACTTATTTTTGAATAAAATAAAAAAATTATAACAATTGGGCAAGTGATTTCCAAGAAAATGTATATGAGATAAGATGTATATACATGTATAGATATATAAAATAAAATCGAAAGTAAGTAATTTTACTTATAGGAGAGTGTCTTAAAGTTTTAACGCACTGATCTTAAATGTTCAACATTTTTTGGGCATTAAGCAAAAGTTATATTTTATATTTTATATAGCTATTTTTTATATATTGAGAAAATTATCTACCTCTTTAAAAAAAAATAATTTTGACATTTTAATCATTCTTAAGTACAAAAAATAGAAACTTTTTTAAAGAAAAATATAAATAGAGAAATAGTAAAATTCTAATATAAAATCTTGTAACATAACACTTATCATACAATTTCGTGTTTTAGGCAGATCTGCTTTAAAAAAAATCTGTTCTTTCTGTACTTGTATAAAATTAATTAGAAAAAGTTCTTGCCCAATTATGATTTCATCGAAATGTCAAGATATTTATGCTTTTTGATATTTATCAGTATTTATTGATGCGCGCGCACACAATGTTTAAAAATATTTTAAATTTCCGAGATATTCTTTAAAAAGCTCTTACACATCGAAATTCTGTGGCGATAAATGCCACAAGCACATAAAATATATAGAAAATAAAATTTAAATTACAAGCGACGAGTGTTAAAGATATCGCGACCGGTGACACAAAACAATAAATAAACAAATAAGCGACTAACATGACGAAGGTAAATTTCGATTTCCGAACATAATAAAAAGCGAAAGTACCTTAAAATAAAAGATAGTCTAATCACCTAAAAATAAAAAAAAGGTCGTGGAATGATCGAGAGAAGCGAGACAATGCGCGGCCTCGAAGAGACAGATAGAATTTGACTTGCGTTCACGGTTTTTCTCGGTGGAGAGTAAAAAGTTTGTATTAGATCTTTGTGACACGAATAAATCCAGTGAAATACAATATACTTTGCACCCTAAATTAATATTTCCGGATAAAATATCCTCTCCCGATCCGCGATAGTGGCGGAACATTAGCTATCGAACAAGAACGCGCCCAAAATTCTTTTGATATATTCATAAATCCCACTTTTCGTGGGTTCTTACAAATACTTTTTTTTAAATTATATGCTTTGATATTTACTATGCACTTAATATATTTTTCACTTTAATATTTGGGTAATACTAAAAAAGAGCTCTGTCCTCTCCGATTTTGCTGAAACTTCACAATATAGCATTATCTTTTGTGCGTAAAACATAAATCTGTTTAAAATTAAAAATCGAAGATGAGCCAAACCTCTATTTCTAATTTAAAATTAAAATTTGATTTGAGTTAGATTATATCCTCCGGAAATAAAACCTTTCCGTAAAGAGGGTGAACTCACTGCATCCACGCGTGTTTTGAAAAAATACATATGTAATACTTTAAATTTTAAACATAAACACCACAACAGAAGAAGAGAGCGACAACTTTAATTTACAAATTCGTGCTTCAGATACAAACATACACAATAGTGTGAAGTTTCAGCAAAATCGGAGAAGATCTCGAAAGGATCTCTTCTCCTCGTCTCAGTAAATGTCTTATCCTATCTTCCTCTTCGAACATCAACAATAAGATTGTCGACTTCCTATGGAACGCAATGAGCCATACGATGGCATACACCACCGACGAATGAATCCAAATAACGCCATTACGCAATCCACTTCCCCATAATCCCGTGACTACGAAGAAGACTTTGGAGTCGCGATGATGCGAAAGCGGTTCGAGACGCCATTGGTCGCAGCATTCGGCTTTCATCCGAAATATCAGCACACGACCAATCCGAGTCTCGTGTTCTCGTCTTCAGCGTCACGCCTACGAGAGAGAAAGAGAGAGAGACGCTCATCTCGACGCTGTCACGCCGCGATCAACGTCATCCGCGGGCCGAGATTCCGCTCTCGTGTCGAGCGGGCGAACCGAGCAGTCATCCGAAAACACTTAGCGGCGCATCTCAGAGCGAGTCCGACTAAGCCGTACGCCGTCGAGAAGCGAGTCTAAATAATTGACCCCTCCGCGGCGCAATCGCGCAAACAATTTACATCCGATTGTGTAAATATCCGCAACCTCGACATCGCGTTTATTGGTGGCGGTGAAGGTCCCGCGCGAGTTCGTTGCTCCACGCGAGAAAAATCATCGAGTCCTAATTACGCTTCGATTTTCATTTTCGCGTAAGATTAACAGTGCGACAAATAATTGCCTCGTTTCGTGTTACCTTCGTGATATCGCTGTGCGAATAGTCGCGAATCATAGTGCATTTATTCGATATTCCGGTCACTGAGATATGTTCGTCGCTCGCTGAGATATGTTCGTCAAGTCTGAACTTTGACGATCGCCGGTCGTTAAGAAGGACCGAGACTCGATGGACCAGAGCGTGATCGTGCCGTCGATGCCGCGGGACGTCGGCGCCGAGAGTGTGCGATTAACCATGAAGAACGAGTCGGATCCCGGTCTGCGTCAGCAGGAACAAACGATTGTCGTGCACCCGAATTCCACGGCGACCGCGCGATCGGCGTTGCTGTCGATGAGCGCGAGTAATCTGCCTCAGGAGACGAATCTGGAGCCGATGATGTGCAACCCGACGAGCAACGAGATACCCAGAAAACCCGGCACTCGCCGCCAAGAGAAACCACCGTATTCCTACATCGCGCTGATCGTGATGGCCATTCAATCGAGTCCGGGTAAGAGGCTGACCCTGTCGGAGATCTATTCGTTTCTACAGCAGCGTTTCCCGTTCTTTCGGGGCACTTATCAGGGTTGGAAGAACTCGGTGCGTCACAATCTCAGCCTAAACGAGTGCTTCATCAAGCTGCCCAAGGGTCTGGGCAGACCCGGTAAGGGCCACTACTGGACCATCGACCCGTCTACCGAATATATGTTCGAAGAGGGTAGTTTTCGACGACGACCGCGCGGTTTCCGACGCAAGTGTCAAGCCCTGAAGCCGCAGTATCCGCAATACTACTCGAGCGCCGGTCCCGTCGGCATGCAGACGCCTGGGCCGTACGAGAATCTAGCCGCTGGTCCCGGCGGTATCGAGTACGCGAACGGTTATCAGAATCAATATCAGAATTATCAGGAGTACGCGATGTATGCGCCGACCGCGGCAGTTTCCGCCGATTGGGCATATCCGGACGGGCCGACGACGTACAAGTCCGGGCCGCCGATAGCCGAAGTGACCTACAAGACCACCGAGGTGACGTACAAAACCGGCAGCGAATCGGCGCCGTCGGTTTACAGGAACGGCGAGCTGGTGACGTTCAAGAGCGAGCCTAGTTTCGGCTCCAGGAGTCAGGATCAGCTGACGGCAGCCTATCGGCCGCCGACTGACGCTTTCCCGACGATCAAAGATCACCATCAGCAGCACCACACGACCGATTATAAGGACGAGACAATGATGAGTAACTACTCCAAGTGCTCGACACCCACCACTCAAGCACCCGGACAGGATTATTATGTCGGTTATGGCCTCGCGGGGGTCAACAATACTACCGGCGTTAATATTACTATGCAATCTATGCAGGAGCAACCGGGTGGTAGTAGCAGTCCTATAGCTAATGTTAGTTCGCCGCACAGCGGATGTCAGACTCCTGCGGATCACGGTGAGTACGAATTTTTTCTTTCCCTCCCTAAAAAGATATTTTTTTCTTTCCCCTTGAAAAAGGATTATTATTTTATATGTTTTGTAATTATATTATTATAAATATAATATATAAAATAATGTGCTATAAAGCTATGTTATTTTAAAAGTGATAATCTGTCGCAAATTGCAGTAAGCTCGAGAACGTTCAGAATATTTTTTTACGACAAAATAGATTATATCATATTTTTATTATTAATTTTTAATACTTTCGTTTGAATATTATAAAATTCTCACACATTTTAAAATTATCTAGTGATATATATAAATAATGTAATAAAATACAATAAGAAAAAAAGAGTGAAAATTACATAAATAACTAATATAATTTAGAAATAGAATTTAATATAATCTAAGAAATGTCTCAAATAAAAAAAGAAATTTATGTATATGCCATAATTAAATATAATATTGCACGACAATGCGATTTATAGCTTTTTTGTTAAAATGTTTGAACTGCGAGCTTGACACAATAAATACGAGATCACAAAACACGACAAATGCAACGAGATATCGCGCTTACGACCTTTGAGCTCTCTTTGCATCGCGAGGTCGACATTTACGGCTCGCGACGTCATTTAGGGGCCATCTGGAAAATTGGAGACAGTTTACGATCTTTAAGGCGCCATATCTTGCAAAGTGAAACCACGGCACGACTTTCTTTCGAATCTTCCATTCTTTATAACAATAAAACAATTATAGGTACGAGTCAAAACTTGATTCTCAGAGTACTTGTGCACAGAAAAAAAGAAGTAATTTAAAAAAATATAATTCTCGTTCATTATCTAATTCAAAATTGTCTGTAGATATAAAGGTACGATAAAAATATTAATATCGCCAAAAAGAATACGGATGGATAGATGTGCAAAGCAACTATGACAATTTAAATCGTCGCAGTTGACAGAAAGAATTAACTAAGATGACATCCCTGTCACGCCCATGCAACGCTTTTCGAACTCATAACTTGTAACTTAACACGTGTAACTCACCGTAAAACGGAGGCGTCAAGACGTTTCCTTTTCTCATAAGATTAATTTAGCCTGCACTATATCTGACAACGCGATAATAAAATGCTTGTTAACACTATGCTTATAATAACGATAACGAAACAGTCGATGCAAGTGAAAAATGTACCAAATTTGATCTGCAATACCTTGTTTGCAATCTATGCAATTTATTTGCAAACTATCTGCAATATCTTATTTACAAACTGCATAGCACAGATATATCTTATAGATGTTTTCTTAAATTTAAAACATCTGTGTGTCAAGCGTTATTTCAGTGTAACATTAAAATTGTGATTCAGTAATAATTTCATAATTAGATGATCTCATTCTACATAAAAATAATCGTGATTTACTTTCGAGGTTGAGCGAGATGCGCGTAAAATGCATTTTTCGCCTCTCAGACGTAGTCGCGTGCTAACAAGTGCGTGCTCGAATCGTTTATCGCATAAATATTTATCGGAAGCATAAACGAGGTGATTTAATTCGGCCTTAACCCTACAGAGAATGAAGCGTAATATTTACGGCGTTAACTTTAGCGAAAGCATATCGATCCACAAATTGTTCACTTAAACTTTTCATTGCTCGTAACTCTTTTTGATATAATCTTAACTTGATAATTAAATCTCTAAATAAAGCTGTGGTTAAAACAAAATTATAAAACGTATATTATATTTTAATAGAAAAAAGATAGTCATGTTATTTCTCTCAAAATGAGTTAAATAAATCATTCAATTTTTTACAATCTTGAAATTAAAACTCTATAGTTTAGAAAATTTCTAAATATATTTTATATCGATAATTAATAAAATTAATGAAATGCTATAATTTAGCATCTCATGCAATGTATTAAATTTGCGTAAAAAATAAATCTCAAAATATTCCATCGTATTTTCAAGTTTCCGTAAATATCTCGATTTGTGAACAGTCTAATCTCGATTAAGGAGGATAAATCTCTTCCTCGTATATCTCGATACAACGTGGATCGACAGGAGATAAACGCCGCCACCCACGCTTTCTCCATCGCAGATTTCTTCTTCTTGTTCGTCTTCCGTCAGTCAGTGGAGTGTAAACGAGATCGATCCATGCAGACGCCACGGTAGGCTCGTCTTTTTACTCTTCTTACACGCCACGACTCTACGTATATTTCTGGAACGCGATCTCTTTACTCCGAACTATGGCCTGTTGTGCCGGTATTCCGGTCAGGAGCGGACTTGTGTGCTCCTTGAAAGCCAGCATCTTCGCGTTCGTTCGAAGAGAAAAAAAAGAAGAAATGGCGCAAGCACACGCACACACGCACGTACACACACAATCGAGCACGGAGAGCATTTGGACCTACAAGAGGGATTTTGATTGACAGGAGCGCCATCGGACCACCCACGAAGTCGTTTCAAGACGTCGCGGTGCCACTCGCGACGTCGCGCTTCCGAATCGAGAAAACTGGCTGATCTTCGAATCGAAACGACGCAATGTAATTTTAAAGCCTTACGTAGGACCGGAAAACTTTGCGAGTTAAAATAGCGCGAGGTATTACACGAAAAGATTCGAGCAATGCTTGATCAATACGCGACAAATATTTGAACCGATAGCCTTGCCGAAAGTTTTGAAAACAGATGAATAAATCCGTAATTCGCGTACGAGAATATGAGACGCAAAAATTAATATGTAGATATAAGAGAGGAAAAAAAACAGAACAAAATCGAGACACGAGTGAAGTGGCTGCTTGAGAAGAAGCTACTTGAGAACTGCCGGAGCTTTAGATTTATGGAGCCTAACCCAAGTACTAATTTCTATCGTGAGAGCTTTCATTCCCTCGCGTGCGGTCTTAAATAATAAATTGGAATGAAATCTCCGCATATATAAGATAATTAAAAATCAGAGTCAAATATTTTCACATCTTTCGTGTGAAATCATAGAAAAAAGTAGAAAAGTATAGTATATATCAAAACTACATTTCATATAGTCATAGCTAATAAACTGTTCTCGAATCATTGATCAAAGATAATGATCTTTGTGCGTATTAACGTAATCTTAATTCTTCGTAATTTTAATTTAAAATTATGAGATATGTATATGCTTATTTTTGCAAGTATGTTATATCAAAAATTGTGCAAAAATATATAAGAGAATAATTAATGATATTTTCATTAAGAAATAATTAAAGAAATTTCTCAGATACTTTGCGAGACACTCTTGTGAAAAATACAGTTTTGAAATAATTAATAATTTATGAATTTTTTTTATTTCAGGCATAAAAATGCAGTGCAGTTCGAGCTCAAGCTCAACTAGTTCTGGCGGTGGCATCATTGACCGAAAGCCATCTTACTTCGCGCATCCTGGAGGATCAGTAACTTTGAGCTCCTTGGGCTCACTGGGTTCATTAAATCTAAGCAATATCGGCGGTTTAAGTATATCTAACATACCTGGTGCAGTTTCGACGAATATACATCACACGTCGACACCACCGCCTGCGACGATGTACTACGATCAGCTCAAGTACAGCATGTGAAGACGTTTCCCTGAAACACAAAAAATATAACTTCGTAAGATTATTTTGCATCAAAAGTTCCATATTTTAAACTGTAAATGTTAAAGTGCTTCATACTTTTAAAACAAACAGAAATGTTAGCAAATCTTAATTATATCTGTTATTTGCATTCCGATATTATCTGGAAACATATATATATATATATATAGAATTACAAACTAAATTAAAAAAAAAATTTTGTTAAATAATGCGGATGAACGAAAATCTGAGGCCAATCTGATTCGAACCATATCTCTTCAAGCTTTTGAATATTTTTATTCTTCATTTCTTCAAAAAACATGTTTTACCAAATTTTCATATCGATAGATAAAAATGTAATTTCGGTATAAACTAGAATTATACAAATTTTAACATTGATTTGCTTTACTTAAAATTTGAAAATATTGACAGTTCTAAAAGTGAATTATTCAAAAAAAAAAGATCTCATCGTATTTCATTGAAATTAAATTAATAATTCATAAATTAGTATTAAATTAGTATTAAAAAGGGATAACAATTCTCAATTTGCAGTTGCGGGCGTAAATATAAGTGATGTAAGTAAAATGTAAAATATAGTTACGTAAAAGAATGATCATACGACTGGCTCAAGCGTAGCAGTGCGCATCGAGAGATACGTCCGCTTTAAAAAAATGTTGATGCATCTCGACTATATCCTATTTATATTTATAATCCATCAATCGATGTAATTAATTTAAATTTAGAGCGGAGAAACAAAGTCTGTAGAATTAAATAACGTTTGCTAAAAAAATTCTCTGTTGATTTCTTTGTCGCGCACGATTTTCTATCCCAATAATCCAAATCAGTATATTTGCGTTGTTAAATGATGTAACTCTTTATAGAGCATAAAGCTTTAATAAAAAAAAAATAAAGTTTAATTTCTCTTAAATATTACATCCAAGACATTAATATCATTTTGATGTCATTATGATGCCATGCAATGTGATCTATGCCGGATGATACAATTACTTAAAACAATAATTTTACACGAACCATATACGTCACAACTGTTTGCGGTAGCGATAAGTTATGTTGTGTGTGTGATTCCTTCCAGATTAATTCTGCCCCAACTGACAAATTCCCCAGAATACCGGTTATCAAACAGATTGGATATATCGTCATCATGGACGGATAAACTCGATGATGTAGTCTTAAAATTTTCCACGAACCTCTTTATTTTTTCATAATGTAAAAAAATTTTAACTATCTTAGAATAGCAAATAAAGTTTCCATTAGTATTTCAAAATTGAAATTAAATAAATATTGCAGATGTGGTAAAAATATTTATGTTAATGCAAAACAAACATTAAGTTGGTCATGCAAAAGCTGGAAAAATTTATATTTTAAATTCACACATATCGGATTGAAAAAATAATATGATGTTGAAATATATTTTTGTAAACGAATAGAGGATGCATCGTAAGCGACAGACTGCTGTTAAAAACACTGCACGCCACACGTTGTTGGAAACATGTTTGCCTGCCATAAAAATGACGGCTTCTTTTTCGGCTTTTTTAGCTGACGATCCTTATTTGAGCAACACCATCGAGACAAGTCTGTGTCTTCTCGCGTCTCGTCACGTGTTCAAATACTGGCTTTGTCATTCTTTGGAAAAATCGCGTCCACGATACAAAGCACGCAGGGATACGCTTCCCCTTCTTGCGGAAACGCGACTCGACAATCGATCCTGTCAGCTCCCGAAATAGTGCTGACATCCCGCTGATCTTAGAGCGTTATCGCGCGGAGAGGAAGCGGGTTGAAAGGAATAAGATTCCTATATATGATGTAAATTTTCTGATAACCAAGATTGAAACATTTCTATTTTACGACTCTCTTGACTTCCTATGATTGAGAAATTTCGTATAAATGTAAAATAATAAATTAATTCCTTGCACTTACATAATAGAGTCGATACGTCGCTTGTAAAATTTATGCATTACTTATTTAGAATTTATATTAATTTTTTTACTCTTTCACTTCTAGAAAAAACAATCATATATATAAATATAATCAATAATAAAAGTAATCATAAGTATATTTTGTTTTCGTTTGTAATAATATAAATATATATTTTCAATATTTTTAATCTGAGACAATATTAGTATTTAAATTCATAAATATGTTCTCCATAATTTATATGTTATTTAATATACGAAATAATAATAAAAAAAAAGACAAATCACGATATTTTAAGTATCTCTCTTTATAAAAAAGAAAAATTATATTTTTTGATGTGTTCTTTTTTTAATTTGAAAAAATATCGAAATTTTTTCAAATAAATATATATCTGTTTTATAAAAAAAAAACTTATCATATTTGCAAAGCGAAAAACTATGTAAATGTGATTTTATATTAAATCGATAGAATACTTCAATGTTTTAAGAATAAGAGTAATCTTGTGACCGAATTTCATCGAAAATTTTTTAACTATCGAGAGTGAATAAAATGCATGGAAGAATTATTCTTCAACAAACGTCGCAAGAATGTGCATTAAGCCAACGACGAATGCATACACGAGGTGCAAGAAGAGTCACTCAACGATGTTGCTGACAGCCTCCACGCTGTTTTGGTGTTCATGTTACCGAGATGATGTTAGTTTCATCAGGGTAGAAGATAAGCGCGCGCGAAGTAAGAAATAGGTACTTTAATTCTTTTCAGTCAAAAATAGGAATTTTTATCAAAAATAGAAATTTTTATTAATATATTTGCGAAAACTTTATAAATAAAAATATGTATTAAATAATAATAACGTTCAGAATTTTGTTTTGCTTCTTCATAGAGGTTTGTTTTTTATTTTACTTTAATTTATTTTATTAAAAAATTACAAGAATTATTTTATTTTGATTGTCTATTAAATATCAAATTAAATATTAAATATGTGGAAAATGAAAAAAATAATAATTTAAAAAAAGGTTTTCTTTTAATATACCTCATAAAGATTGAATTTCGCTAAAAATTAAGAAAAAAAGAATATATATATATATATATATATATGTACATATATCATTTTTTTATTTAATTTAGTATTCAAAAAATTTAGATAAAATTATTAAAAAATATAAAAAATATTACGTGTATATATAAAATTACCTCATAATAACTTTAGTAATAATCTGTACATTTTTAGTAAATAAATTGTAGTAATAATAAATTTGCAATTATATTTATACTTTTACTCTATTTTTGAAAAATGTCAGACAGAAGAACATTCTGTAACCTCATTAATGTAAAGAACTTTTATATATTAAAGAAAAGTTCTATATTCATATCAAATATCGAATTAAACGAATGATAATAAAAATGATAAGACGTGCAAGAAGATCAAGAAGAAAAAGGTAAGTCTCTCAAGATTTACTCTCTTATGATTCAAGTGCCAACACTCGTGTCAAGCTTCTTGTTGAAGAATACATAAAGATACCTTAAGTATTGCACACATATACACAAACACACATATTCACGAGGTACGTATGAACAAAATCTGTGTTTCAATCTCAAGTAAAAGATAATTCTAATACGTCTTATCGTATGTTATTTACTTTGTAATATATAATACTTGCACACATATGCATTTTATACGTTTATGCATGCGTGCATCGTCATAGTACGTAAAAAGGTAAATTTTTAAAATAGCATTGATCAAAAAATCTTGGTTCTGAATGGTTCAAGCGTGAGCAAAAGCAGTAAAGAGAGAGAAAAAGAGAAAGAAAGAGGGAGAAGAAGAGAAAGAAAGACGAGAAGCGGACGAGGAATATAACGGAGAACAGGATTCTGTAGGAAGGGGTTCGCTCTAAAATAATAAACTGGTCCACGATGCGGAAAGATTAGACCAGAACGAACAGACCGGCGATTTATGCTACGCAGACGTTATCAATATGAGAAAGGGAAAAATATATTATCATTCAGAGACAAAACGATTACTACAATAATATATAAACAAATTAAAATCGGCGGACCGACGATTTATGCTACGCATATCATCTAGATAAAAAAAAAGGAAAAATATATTGTCATTCAGAGCCAAACAATTACTAAGATATCATTTAAAAACGATTACTAAGTACGATATCATATATAAAAAACAAACCAAAATCAGAGTTTGATTTAAAGGAAGATGCATAGTGTTGATTTGCAAATCCGAATAAATATAATTACGGATTTATGTTTGAACAGTAAGTTATATTAAAAACTAAAATATAGAACTATACTTTATAATATTAATATATAATATAGCTAGCTGCAACAAAATCTATACAAAATACATTTTAATTGCACACAAATTTATTTATTTATTTATATTATAAAAATGTGTAACACTTTGAAATTTCTATTTGTGCAGAAGTTTAATAAATTGTTAGATACAACTACTAAAACTTGAAACTAATACATACATTTTATACATATATATATCCGCATTATGTCATCTGCCCCAATTTTATTAACTCAATTAATAAAACAGCAACATTTTATTAACTTTATTAGCATCAATTATCTGTGCAAAACAATCATTAATATCAAAAATTTAGGTAAATTAAAAAATGATATTTCTTTATAAAGATTATTTATGATATAAGCAAAAAAATCCTGTGTTCGCCAAATTATAAAGGGAAGAAAAAGTTTTTATTATCAGTAGGTAAAATGTAATTTTGCTATCTATATCAGAGAATGCATCGACCTGGTTTGAAAACCATTTTCATGGTTAAATTTTATTTAGAAGAAGATGAGAATCAAAAAGCACTGACATTGCCGATTGTTGATAAAAATAAATATAAATCAACTTAACACGAAATACTTTAGTGCTTATTACATTAAATAATCACTAAATATTATTTAATGTAAAAAAAATTTATTCGAGAAAGTATTTTTTTAATATATAATACTGAAGGAGAATTTCCCCATCCTCTCCAATTTTGCTGAAACTACAATATTGTGTATTTCTGTGTGTAAAACATGAATTTGCAAATTAAAATTGTCTTAAGTAGGAAAAAAGTTATATTTCGTCAATTTTAAAGATTTTTAATCTGCTTGTTTCATCGATATAAATTTCAATGGCGAATACCAAAAATAAAAATGATTTAAAAAAAAACTGCGCAAACTAATTTGAAATATCTTAAAGTTGGGTGCTGGACACTTCTTGAATTTTTCGCTTTAAGACCGACATCGATCTATCTCGCGTTAAAGACTTTTTCGAACAGAGATATTTCGCGCATTCTGTTATGCAAATCTGGCACCTGACTTTAAAAGATTAATTTTTTAATATGTAGAATGACAGTATTACGTTTGTATCGAGATTTGTGTAGTCCATGTAGAAATAAAATATTAAAATTATGACTATATAGCACCAGACTTTAAGATAAGTTAAATTCGAATGCGCAGTTTTCTTTATAGCATCGTTTTTAATTGATTGTACTGATTTTCGTTTCGTTTGCAGTTGCGCGATTTAGAAATTACAGTAGTTTAAAGAAATTATGAAAAGTGATTTTCGTCAATTTTAAAGATTTTTTAATCTGCTTTTTTCATCAATATAAATTTTAATTGCGGATATTAAAAATGATTTCAAAAAAGACTGCGCAAGCTGATTTGAAATATCTTAAAGTTGAGTGCTGGACACTTCTTAATTTTTTCGCTTTAAGATCGACATCGATCTATCTCGCGTTAAAGGCTTTTTCGAACTAAGATATATTTCGCGCATTTTGTTATGCGAATCTGGCACCTGACTTTAAAAGATTAATTTTTCAATATGTAGAATGATAGTATTACGTTTGTGTAGTCCATGTAAAAATAAAATATCAAAATTATGACTAGCACCCGACTTTAAGATAACTCAAATTCGAATGCGCAGTTTTCTTTAGCATTGTTTTTAGTTGATTCTATTGATTTTCGTTTCGTTTGCAGTTGCGCGGTTTAGAAATTAGAATAGTTTAAAGAAATTGTCAAAAGTGATTTTCGTCAATTTTAAAGATTTTTAATCTGCTTTTTCATCGATATAAATTTCAATTGCAAATGCTAAAAACGATTCTAAAAAAGACTGCGCAAGCCGATTTGAAATACCTTAAAGGTGGGTGCTGGACACTCTTCTTAAATTTTTCGCATAAGATCGACATCGCATATTAAAATAAGCCTAATGTAACTATAGTCTGCAAGAGTAGTGTGTTAAACAAAAAATTCATATCATGTATGGACATTCTGAATCGTATTACTTCTTCTTGTTTTTCAAGACTTGCAATTTCATATTGTTTACGATATACATTTCTCATACATGATTCTCACAAAATCGGTACCCATAAAGTTTAAATAATGATATTATTTAATTATTCTCTTATAAATAATAGTAATAAAATAAAATAGATTATCTTAGGTTATTCACCATGTAATTGCTCCGTCCTTGCCCGATGCCACCCCAGGTCTGCTCCTTCTCCTTGTAGAAGCTTCGAAACACTTGCACTCGTTACTTTTTTCTTCGCGACGAGCGGCGACGCCCGGGTTTTAACTATCACATTTTCGACGCTTCTATAAAACGCGAGAATCGCGAGAGCTTATTATTCGCGCGCGAATAAGACTGAATTTTCGCGTCGCCGCTTTTTTCTAGGCCATTTATCTGACGGAAGGCTTTAACGAACAACGATGACGACTTCCTCGCGACGCACTCAGGAGTCGCCGAATTAGCCACTACATATTTCACTGTATTTTATATTTCACAGAATATTCGACGAAAGTATATATATTCATCACTTGTTCGCCAAAAAATCCAGCGGTGCTTGCGACGCGATTCCAAGAATCGGCTCCTCGAGCGAGCTCCGAGAATCTGACACTTCACGAAACGAGGAGCACTTCCCGAACACCGAATACGTTCGCGAGCACCGCGTATTTCGATAATATCCGATTAATGTATGTATATGTGCTTCTCGCTCTTCGCCAAATATCCGACTCGACGACAGACGAGAAGTTAACAAGAAGAAAAGCAACATGGCAGCGCGACTACAATTGTAGTCAACCTGCAAAGTTTGCGAGAATTACGATATACTAGTTCGCGAAACGACACTTCCGGACGATATCGCGAAACTACGACCGGAAACGCGCAATCGCCCGCTTAGATTACGCTCGACAATGCCGAAAAACTCGGTAAATTCACGTTGAAAGCGCACCGACAATAGTTGATCCGCCTAGGTAAACGCGCGAGCTATCGGCGACTCCAGGCTGGGAGTTGTGACGTCACGCGCTAAAGCGCGGGAAAACGTTGAGCGAGATTCGCGATCGATTTGCAATTCAATCTCACGCTCGCGATCGACTTTATAGATTAATTAACAACGCAAAAACGCTAATTACGGAATACTCACACTCGTACTTTCGCGGACTGGCTCTAATCGCGATTAATTCCAACCGATTGCACCAGATGGCAACCCTGCTGGATTGTGTTCGGAAATTCAACATCAAAGTGCAGAATTGTACCGACCAATTGGAGGCCGAGGATCCTAATTCTGATTGGTCGATCAAGCGCGTCACTCCCAGCTGATCATATTTTCGAACGCAACCTAGATTTCTCCGTACGGATGGCCTGTGACGTCACCGATAGGTCTTTACCATAATGTCTGAAGGTCCATATCGGCTTGGATGGCGGCGGTGGACGACAACGAGATACTCTTCGTCCGCGTGTACTGTCAAGTGAATTTTTCCAAAATAGAAAAATGGAGCAAATATTGGTGAATCTACTCAAGGGTGACAATGCTACGATACAAGAGGTCCGTATATCCTTATTCACTAAAAGTTTGTCAAATCACTCGGATGTGATAACATTGAAAACACGTGTTTCTTTCCGAATTTTGAATTGCTCAAATGGAAGTTGAATTTATTAAAAGATTAGCCAATATTCGTATTTATGTCCAGCGAATGTAGGAACTCTCAATCTGATTTAACTATTTGCGAAACAACTTCTACACATTTGTATATCTTTCATATTTTAGCATATTGTAATTATTTTTGTTTGTTGTGTGTGAATGCAATCATAGACATCTCAAAGTAGCTTGTAATAATAATTATCTATTGTCACTTTACGACCCCAAATAATCTGTATTTCATCACTTCAGGCAACTGCAGAACTTAAGAATGCTCTTCAGAATCCAGATAATATAATAGTTTTATGCCAACTTCTAGCGACCTCACCGAATTCAGAGGTTTGTTTTAATAGAATTAAATTGATTTTTATATATTTTTTACTTTTGATGGACATGTGATAAAATTATGAATGTTTAGATAAGACAGTATGCAGCTGTTATACTCAAAAGACGATGTAGTAAAGGAAAGAACTGGGCAAAATTATCTGAACCTGCACATACCGAAATTAAGAAAATGATTTTAGAGGTGAGAAATTTATATAATATTATCTTTTGTATCTCAAAAACTTTAAATCACAGATTTTTATATTATCGATAAGATTATTTAAAAATGTTTCTGTAATTTCCAAGTATACATGTTTCTCAAATTATTTCATAAAGTTATATTGTTTTCCTTACAATAAAAAGAGGCAATATGAATTATAATTAATAAAATACAAGTAATTAAATTTCTTCATATAATTTTTATATTTAGGAAACAGATATTAAAGACAAGAACATTCAAGATCATATAATTTAATGTTTCTTTAATTATATAATTATTTTAATTAATTCTTTAATAAATATATATTTTTTCAGGCTTTAAAGAATGAATCAGTAAAGTTGGTTAGAACTAATATAGCTCAGTTAATAGGTGTTATTGTTAAGCATGAATTACCTAAAAATAGTTGGCCAGAAATTATATATTATGTACAGCAATTAGTCACTAATGATAACATACAAAATCAAGAGGTAAATAATGTCAATTCTCATTTTAAAATAATATAAAATATGTAATATAAAAGAAAGTATATGTTGTTAAAAGTTTATACTATGTTAGTTTGGTATTTCAGGAGCTTGTGTCAATCATTTTATAATATTAAATTTTTTTTCTAGTTAGGTCTTTATACTTTATCGATTATGACAGAAACTGCGCCAGATGCCTACAATACACACGCTAAATCTTTGATACTGGTCCTTGCTCAGACATTGACTCATCTTCATGATTTAGAACAGCCAGTTGCTGTTTACACTTTGAACACTTTGAGACATCTTATTCCTATAGTTAAACATGATGAAACTGTTAGTATTATATGATAAGATTTTATTTTAAATCTCAATATTACATATTGTTGAAGATATATATGTTCAATTTTAGCTGATACACATTTATGTCAATCTGATGCCTCGTATAATGGTCACAATTCAGACTCTAACTGAAGCACATCACGAAGACATGGCCGTTCAAAGCTTTGAGTTGCTGGATGAATTGTGTGAGAATGTAATTGCTGTGATAACGCCTCATGTCAAATCTCTTGTCAACATGTGCCTTGCAATCGTCGCTAATAAATCTGTAGATTCTCTCGTAAAAGTTAGGGCAATTAATTTTATTGGCTGGCTAGCGAGAATTAAAAAAAAGGCTCTTGTGAAGCATAAATTAGTAGAACCTATCGTCGGTGAGTGATCTTAATATTCGATTAATTTTTATTTAACACACATTAGCAAGGACATTTAATTACTTATTTCTATTTGCAGATATGTTATTCGTAGTTATGTTGCTTCGACCGGATAATGATAGTGACGATGATTATAATAACACAGAAAGCGATAATACTCTTTTAACAAGTAGTACTCAAACCTTAGATTTGCTCTCATTGCACTTGCCGCCAGAAAAATTACTTCCACATTTGGTAAGTTTATTAAACTATTATACACTAGAAATGTTTGCGATTATATATGTATGATAAAATATTACGTACATTTTTATTTCTTTGAAAATATAAAATTACGCGTCACTTGGAAAATATTTAAACATTTAAATATTTATATATTTAAATATATTTAATATTTTAATATTATGCAAATCTATTCTATTAATATTGATCGGGTATTTTTTAAATACATTTCTCGTTCATAAATTATTGATTGATGTGATTATTCTGTGTTTTCTATTCTTTTCGTATGTTTTGTGTGTGTAAAATTAAATTTAAAATAAAATATTAATTTTACAGTTGCGACATATCGAACCTGGATTTCAAAGCACAGACATATACATGAAAAGAGCGTCGTATGTAGCGATAGCTGTAATATCGGAAGGTTGCGCCGAGTATATTCGTTCAAACTATCTTGAATTCTTCCTACGATGCATCTGTCAAGGAATTGCCGATCCTTCAGCGATAGTACGAAATGCCGCGCTTTATGCCTTAGGACAATTTTCCGAACACTTGCAACCGGAGATTTCGCAATACTCGTCCGAATTGTTACCCGTATTATTCGATTACCTGAACCAAGTCTGTTTGTATATTAAGCAAGAGAAAAAGGAACCGCATGCGGTTGGACGTATGTTTTACGCTCTTGAGATGTTCTGCGAAAATTTGCACGAGAGCATCCTGCCGTATTTACCCAAGCTTATGGAAAGGTTACTGAATATTTTGAACTCTGATACATCGCCAAATGTAAAAGAATTCACTTTAAGTGCTATAGGCGCCGCCGCGTGCGCCAGCAAAGAGCATATGCAACCATATTTTGCGACAATCATCAAAATTATCGATGAATACCTTGTCGCGGAACCGACTGCGGAAAACACGTATCTTAAAGTTCAAGCAATTGGTGAGTGACGAAGTTGATGAATTATTTAATTAATTACTCCATAATTTCGATAAAATTATATTTATATATCCGTTGTTTTAGATACTCTCGGAGTAATTGCTAGGTCACTAGGCGAAAAGAATATTATGCCATTAGCGGCTACCTTCCTCGATCTTGGAATAAAATTGCTAAGAAAAACGGAGGAACCAGACACACGAAAATCTCTTTACGGACTGTTTGCCGCTATTAGCACAGTAGTGAAGAAAGATATGGCTGTGGTCTTACCCGAACTTATCGAGTACATGATAATGAGTATAAGGAGTTCAGACGGAATTTTGGTGAATATCGCGCGATCAAGATATTCAAGAACATTGCGACAAAAATTACATAATGTAATTAATATTGTCGTTATAGATGCACTTCAAGGATGAGGCCAATGCACTTACAATTTATGATGATCTCAGCGAAACTGAGAATGAGGAACAAGAGGAAAACATTGATCATACCGATAATGAAGAAGATGATGACGATGTCCAAGGTTACAGTGTTGAAAATGCTTATATGGAAGAAAAAGAAGAAAGCGTTATAGCCTTGAAGGAAATCGCCGAATACACAGAGTAAGTCTTCCAGTTTTCAGATGCTTTAATTAAGTAATTAAATAATTAATTACACTATTAATTATACTACTATAATGAGAATATTATATTTTACAGAGAGGCGTTTGCGCCGTATCTCGAAAGTTGTTTTGAGGAGATTTATAAGTTGATTAATTATCCCCAGGAAGACATACGTAAAGCGAGTATAGAGGCTTTGTTACAATTTTGCATTAATTTCTCGAAAGTTAATACCGCCGATGGTAAGAAAACATTATTGAAGGCTCTGTCCATGTTTATCCCAAAATTGTCGGAATTGATAAGATTGGATGAAGAAAGGACGGTCGCCATTTGCGGTTTAGAGGCATATCAGAAACTTTTAAGAGAAATCAAATCAGATGTTGTCCTTGATGTGGGTCACAAAGAAGCTATTGTGAATTGCGCAATTGAAGTGTTAACAGGTACTTAAGATTCATATTTATATTCGGTATTTCAATAAATCAGCGCGTATGATCTTGAATCACAATTTTTATCGCAGGCAAGACAGCATGTCAAGACGAAGATGAAGTTGAAGACGCTGATATTGAAGCAGAACAAGACGAATTATTGGCAGAATGTGCGGGAACTGTATTGTCTAATTTAGGAAAAGTGATTTCACCAGAAGACTTTTCGCTCTACTTTCAGACTGCGTTGCCTCATCTTTTAAAAAGACTGGTATTATTCCCGATTTCTCGGTCTTTTTCCAAAAATTCCCGATTTCGATGTTTTAGCTGAACTAAATGTTTTCAGAAAATGGACAATTCCGAGGCACAGAGATCTTTCGCTGTTGGTACAATCGCGGAATGCTTCCCAGGACTTAAACATATGACGGCTGTGTATGTTGACCAATTACTTCCAACTCTTCTACAAGTTGGAGCCCAAGATCCTTGCGGTGAAGTTCGAAGTAATTGCTTCTTCGGAATTGGTGAACTAATTTTTTACGGAAAGGAAACGGTTTATATGTATCCTTTTCACCTAATATTTAATAGTAATGGAAAACATTATACCTTTTTAAATTTGCAAATTATTTAATAATATTTCATTATATTAGAAGTTTTAGTCTCAATAGTATTTAAAAAGTATCATAAAAGAGAGAGAGAGAGAGTATTACTTACTTTTTCTTTTTTTTATAATTAAAAATGTCAAAAACATTAAAGAAACATACAAAATGTTATTCCACACACAATTTCATCTTGTACAAACAGAACAAATCTTTATAATTATTGCATAGCATATTTTTATGAAACTATTGTATAACAGTATAATTTTGCTATTGGTATTCTTTAACAATCATACAGACATTATCCTCGAATTCTAACATCACTGTCGTGTGCCATTGCAAAAGAAATGGATGCAGCCGCACGTGATAATGTTGTCGGAGCGATTGCACGACTTATTATCACAAATTATGCAGCTTTACCGCTCGAGCAAGTATTTCCAGTTTTTGTTCAACAGTTACCTTTGAAAGCAGACTTTCAGGAGCATAAAGCTGTATTCAAAAGTATTCTTATATTGTATCAAGCCGGACTTGCTATTCTACAGTCTCATATCCATACATTGTTGAAAGTTGCAATTGTCATATTACACGAAGACAAGGCTATGGATGATGGTGAGTTTATACAACAATATTAAACATTTAAAAATTATTTTTAAAAATTTAGGATAGATGTTTTTATCTTTTTCAACTTTTATCTTTAAATAGGTGATCTGAATAAATAAGATGTAATATGAAAATAATGCACCTTTTTTTCATGTAATTTTTGAACAATGCTTATTTTTATGCTTATTATTATTGTTTATCAAATATTGAGCATCTTTTAGTTTGATTTCAATTTAATAAGAATTTTGTAAAGAGATATGATCAGGAAATCGTTGTTTCTTCTTACTGAATTATATAATATTTCTTTACAGAAGCACGAAATCTCATCATGGAATTTATAAAATCTGCTCAACGAGATTTTGTAAGTGATTGGAATGCAGTTTTCACCGAATTGCCTCCAGAAGTTGTCGTGAAAATTCAGTGCATATTTTCTTAATTTAAACGGTTAATGTTGCAATTTAAGATTGTATTAGTTAAAATATCGAAATTGAAATATAAGATAACAGATAAATTCAAGTATAGGGTTTGGTGTGATTCTTTTCAGATTTTCTATCGCGTTTTTCTTTGCAATTCAGATTCGCGAAGGAATGATAATAAAATATGAATCGAGACTAAATAATTGAAATTGATTAAATAATAATAAATAACAATTATTTAATATAATATGTTTTTATTTTTATTTTATAGATAAATAATTATATATTTTTTTATTCTTTTGTTTACTCATTGTTTCGATTTTGTTTAAATAAAAAATTTTTACAGTTTTATATAAAATATTTTAGCTCATTTTGTAACTCTCTGACTTAGTAATGAATAATCCATATTATCTTAAGCATATATTTAATTTTTTTTTTTATACATCAAAACATGAAAGAAGTTCGAAATCCTTCAGAAATCTGAATTTGGATTTATACGTCATAAAACTCATGATTTCTCTGATGTCCTTAGATTGATTGAATCTTTGATCATTATTGAAACTATATATAGAAGAAATATATATTTCTTCTGTGTAATATATATATATATATATTACATATATATTACACAGTACATTATTTATACATATGTATATATATATAAACCCAGCAAACACAGTATATAAATGTTATATACTTAAGCATGTTACATGTAACGTATATGTTAATTGTAATTTCCCACTCATAGATGTAACATTTTTAATATTACATATATTACATTGTAGTTATATTGTCATTATATCCCAAGATAGCACTGACTTATCAATATATGAATGTGCTATTTGGTATATAATTACAATATAACTACAATGTAATATATGTTATATTAAAATGTTACATCTATGAGTGGGAAATTACAACTAACATGGATATTACATGTAACGTACACGTTATATTACCTGTTATATTCCGTTTTATTATAGCAATGTAACAATTATATATTGGTGTTTGCTGGGAACATTTAAACTTATTTTTTATTTTTCCATAATTATATAAATAAAAATCGGTTAATAAATTCATAAAAGTGCAAGATCGTTAATGAAAATACGATTAAAATTCTCTTCAATTGAAAATTGAATGGAGATATGCACTTCAATAAAGTGTAGGTATTGATGCTAATAGACGAATTATCAGTCTCGTGTGCATCATATCTTTGTTTTTGTTTGTAACCAAAAATGTGTAGTGTAACATATCACATGTAGACATTGAAAATAAATGTGTACTATGTGACTATGTGAATAAAAACCTTGTATTATATGCTATTTATAAATGCTAAATTTTTTCGCACGCTTATATCTTTAAAATATATTTTAAAATAGTAAATCTCATAAGTGATATTCTAAAAATAAACCGTGATTAAATATGATTCATTAAAATTCAACTTCTTTATTAATTAATAGTATTTTCTAAATAAATAAATTGAAATTTCTTTATTTAAATAAAAAATATTTATTTATTATTTAAGAAAAGAAATAAATTTATTTATTTTTACTGTTAATATCTTTATGAAAATAAATTTAATATTTTAATATTTTACAGACAATCTTCTCTTTCTGTATGATCGGTGCATTCGAGTGCAATGCGTGAGAGATAAAATTCCTAATGGACACCAGGATTCTTATTCGACGGTACAATTAATATCGAGCACGTTGTCGTTGAGATATTTATCGTCGTTTTATCAAAAGGCAAGTAGATAACTTTACAGCTAATCGCGCGCGCAGACTTCTTAAAGGTCTTTTCATTAAATACTGGCCACACAACTTTTCGAGTAACACATTCGCTCGAGTCGAACGATACGGTTTGCGCTTTTTTGTGACGTGTCGCGAAAATTATTGCAACTTACGATAAGCTGTTAATTACAGGCAGCCGAATGTCGTGCGTTTATGTGCTGTGATTTTTTGTTTCTTATATCTACATTGCATCTAACGTACTCGGATTGCATTAGTGGTCGCGATTTGCTTTCGTAAATCCTCTAAAAGTTATATTTGACAGCAAGTGCATTTTTTTCATGTTTTTTATATTCGATAAAAAAATCGAGTATCAATGATAAATATTTCATTAAATAAGATTTTATTAAGTACCTGCAAGTAAACATAAATGATTATGAATTTAACTCATCACTAAGTCAAGAATCGTATGCAGGATGTTCTAAAAAAGGTGCGTGTGTATATGTGTGTGTATGAATGTGTAATTCTTTTACATATGTGTACATTCGAACATTCGAAATTAAACAAAACTAGCAATTGCTCAGATTTCTATAACAATTTCAGATATCTTAAGTCGATGTTTTGAATATTTTTCTTCAAAAATTTAATTAACTATATCATTTTTAAACGCGATAATATTTTCATAATATAACGTGATTATATATGACATGATTAGTATGCTTAACATTATATACTCAATTTATTTTTATAGATGTAATTTATTTTTTAATCGATCTAACTGATCAATCATTTTACAACCCACAAAAGAAACGCAAATTAAATTTTTACACACAAATTTAACACACAAATATTAAATTATATATATTTATATATATATACAACTTTCTTATTAAAAGGCGTAATCTGATTATATATATTATTATAATTATAATTGTTGCGTTTGCATGTATGCAAAATCGATGATATTGTCAGACCTCTTCAACACTGTTAACCATTAACAGCAAATAATCGAGGTCAATCTAGCTTCTCCCTGTACGAAAAATTACACAGCTGTGTCAATTAACATCAGACATGAAAACTTCACGTATAATACTCGACAACGATTTTGTTTGACGATCATTATTAACATTACTTCTTATATGACGAATTTGTACAGGTCTCAGAATCTATCGCTCGATCAAGTATGGCATTTTACACATGAATGAAAATTAATATCCCAATATCTTTTTCTTCAAGATAAAGATCTTGCAAACATTTATCGAGCTTCCATTTATAACACTAGCTTAAAGCAGTTAAGATATCACTTCTTCGAACCGTTCATATATTATTTGACAGATATTTTAATTACTTTCTTGAAGGATCTATTCGATGTTCGGTACACATTTTTTATTTTTAATTTATACAATACAATGCAAGACACCGTTATGTGTCCCTTTTTCCTCGACATTTGATTAAAACAAATTATTTAACAATGCAATCATCGCGGTTATGATTAATTTAATTAAAAATTAATTTATGATTGATAAAAAAAACATCGGTTTATTTTAGCATTATTTTGTGAGATTTTTATAAATTAGAAAACATTGTAATAAGTTTTAAAAGCAATGAATTGAGATGCTCTATGGTTTTAAGACCCGCAATCGTTGCACAATAGCTCTCTCTCTCTCCGAACGATCGCGATCGCGGACGGATTTCCGCGCGCAACGACCTTTCGACCTTCCTTCGAACGAGACGGCGCGGCGGAAGTCGTAAAAAAGTGTCATTGAGGCCTCGATAGAGAGTGCAATATTGTTGCGTGCGTGCAGAGACGCGATGCCGGTGCGGGATGACCTTGGGGCCTCCACCATGACTCGAATCGAAAAGGAACCGTAGGTGTACGACCCGTTCATCGTCGCACCTGCCGAGGCTTGCTACGGCTATATCGACGGTGGAAAGTGGTCTCTCTTGTCGTACGAAAGTAGTTTATTGCGAGAAACACGTCGACGATATAAGTTTCCGTACGCGCCTCCGAATAACGTGCGACATGTTGAAAGAATCGTCGTATATATCGGAAAATCGGAAATCGTTAACTGGCTGACTTTTCACCCTGAACTGGAGGAAAAGCCGACCAGGTAGGTATTGAAAAAACCGAAGCTCGTCAATAGCGAACGCAAATCAATTTATTGATGATCGCGTTTGCGATGATAAATTGAAAATTAATTACCTTAGAAATTACGGTGTCGCCGTTTCACTAATATATGCAAGACAATCTGCGATTTCAATTTTATTAATGAAATCTCTGACAAATTAAACATCAATTTGTCTTTAATTAAAATGTCATCAAAACAAGTCACTATTTATCACAATTTATCGATTTTCAGCATATATGTGTGTGTGTATCATTTTTGATAGATGTATATTAATTTCGTGGACTAGCAGCAAGCTACGATTATTTTCTGAAATGCTTTCTAATTCAATGCTTTACTGTCAATTTCTGATTGACTGTAATAATGCATTTTATTGACGCATCTCAGAAAATAATTGTAATTCGTTCAACAAACTTAATATACACCCATCAAGTGCTTTAAGCTTTTAAGCATCTATCATGTATACGTGACACTAATGAGTGTACTCAGTGATTAATTCAGTAACTCTTTCGATCAAAATAAATCAATAAATAAGACGCTCGTAGACTTTCGACATATGTAGCTTGGAATTCTTTTCGGTTGAATCATTCGTCGCGATAACCGATTGATAATTGTAATATTTATTCCTACTGTTTCGCCGCAGACGAAACGACTCATTAAACGTGTCCTTTTTCGAACAGACACTAATCGTTCTCTAATCGTTTAGCTCATGAAATGCCACTCGTTTTGGCTGATCCGGAAGGAGTAAAAACGACAGGATGCAATTAACGGAGCTGGAAAGTTACCGCTGACGTCTGAAGCGTGATCGCCAAAAAAGATTACATATATACACGTACCATTACATAAGCCAAGCAGTATTACACATAGCTATTAACATCAAATTGAATATCATATCACATTCCAAAAACTAGCCAAGGTCTATCTCTTTATTCTGCTTAGCAGAATATCTTTCTGACTTGTCATCATCACTATAAATATTTTTACATGTCATCTTTTTTTGTAGAAGTTATCAAACTTCGAGAAATGCTAACTAAATCAATGTTTAAGACTTTATTATTATTATTATCATTATTATTATTATTATTATTATTATTATTTATTCTGACTTGTCATCATTACCATAAACATCTCTACATGTCATATTTTCTTATAGAAGCTATCAAACTTCGAGAAGTGCTAGCTGAATCAATGTTTAAGACTCTGTTATTATTATTATTATTCTTGGCATATATCAATCTTGGCAATCACGGTTCACGCATAGGTGGTCGCAAATCGTTTTCGATATGAGCTATCATGCGATTACTTTGAAGACATGTTTACGCTGTAATGTCGGTAGTAAAAGATGCACCGAGCGTGAATACTCCGGAGAAAGTGCCATCACATGAACAATGAGAAGGTTTCGTGGTGACCAGTGAAATATGTTCCACCGCAGTGTGACATAATTAGAAATGAAAATATTTCCTCGACTCCTTTGTAGGATTTCACTTCTCCCATTCGTCAACAATTTACTAACTGTAAGCAACATCAGAAGCGCGTCTTATCGCATTATCATAATCAAATTACGTAATGAAATTATGTAATGTGATTAATATCTTATACACGATTAAGTGGCAAAGATGCATTTAAAAATAATCTGAGGTTTTATTAGATATGCCATCTTTTTCGTCACATACGATATCGATCAATTATTACGAATGATTCACAGTTTGAAATCCTTGTCAAAATTTCTATTATATTAAAATAATCCCTATAGTTTAAAAAAATTCTTACTTCAAAATTGTGTTGAATAAATAATGAAATAAAATAGATAATTTTGTTATAAAAAAAGCTATTAATAACGTAATAAGCAAAAGAGTTTACGAAATATTCTAGGTAGAAGAGATTATGTGTAAACATTGCACGCAATTTATTTTAATCCCTAATAGTATCCCCGACAGGATAAAGTGCTTCGTAATTCTGTAAGAGCGTTTATCGGCTGACAAAAATCTCTACCTAATTTTCCGATCAATTTCGGCTATCTCTCGAAGCTTTTATAAAGGCGAACAAAAAAAGCCACACATCCGAGAATTATAAAAATAGATGCAAGAGAGTTCCTATCGAGCGCCTTCGCGATTTGCTCAATAATAATTCAATTCACACGACGTCTGGAAAAAGAATGTGCACGCAAAAATACTGCTTTAAAAAAAGGCATCTTTAAATGCTTGTACTTTATTCGACAAAATATTTAAAAGTATATATATAATTACATTTTTATTCATTAAAGCTAAAATATCTGCATACATTCGCATGACAGAATAAAAATATATTTCAATGTTTAACACAGTTAACATGTAAATGTAATTATCTTCAAGAATTTTTTGTATAACAGAAACTTCAAATTGTATAATATTCTTTTTCAAAGTAATATATTTGCTAAATTTTTTCTGAAATCGATTATTTCCGAGCAATCGATATTTTCGGAGCAATATACGAAGTATGAAATATAATATTTAACAATTCTATTTTCAATGGGCGAAAGGAGAGAACGAACTTAATTTTAAATGCAATGAAATTCAATTACACGACAGAATAATCTTGAAAATACTATATTCAAATGGAAAAAAAATATTCAAGAATATCGTTGCTTGATATCGCGCACATTCTATTCAATTAACATAATCTCGTAAGACCTAAACTTAAGAGGTAGAAGCTAAAAGTTCTAATTAGTAGTTGCAGATTTTTATCTATTCATTTATTTATTTAGAAAAAAAAGAATTAGAATATGCATATTAGTATATAGCTATGATTAATATTTCTCGACGCAGAAGGAATTCTGCGATGATTCCAACGAGAAATACAAACTTCAGTCGGCGAGCGAATATTTCTAACTACATTATTATCGAGGTATTGTTAATATTGTTTTTTTCAGATCTCCGTGTAAATTGTTCGAAAAAGAATTTTCAGAAAAATATATTCCATTTACCCAGCACACAAGAATCTCAACTTTCCCGACAACGAAGAAACAAAAACCTCCGGTCATCTCTGTTTGCCTCGTCGCTTTATCATTCACAATCGATGCCACGCTGTGCACCGAGCAGAGTTTGCAGGCGTAAAAAAGCCAGGAGTGTGCATTATAGTTGATTGAAACGGAAAGATAGGGAGAAAGAAAGAGACACGAGGCGGTCAAGTCAGGGGAAGTGTTTCGAGTGGCCCATTTCCCTTATCACGATAAAGCCTCGGTTTGACTTGGCGCGACCATCACGGAGAACTGACGCAGGTAATACACGGAGTGATTCACTTTTCGATTGCGATTCATGCGATCAGTCTTCTCGCGGATCTGCCGCCGCGATGAGTACAACAGTTGTGAGTTCGCCATTGCCATCGTGTTTTAATTATTGTCCTCGAGAGATGATTTGAGATCGGCACGAAACAACCCCCTGGGACGAAGATGGACGTGGAACTGGTGACCCGAGCGTCCTTGAGCTCTCTGCAGAACGACGACATCCGCATCGTCTCTCCCAAACAGCTTCGACGAGTGGACCTGGTCCAGCTTGAGGGTAAGTGAACGATTATAATTAGATCTGTTCCTATCTGGTAAATATTTAAAAAGCACACACATTCGAATTTAGATCTCGAGTAGAATCCATAAATAAAATATAAAGTTCTTTATATAGGACTCTGAGGATAGGATCTTTAATTGTTTATTCCTTTATTCCTAGAGTATATCTAAATTTGCATCGGTGCATAAGCGTATGCATAAGGAATTTAATTTGTTTATTTTCTTATACATGTATTTACATATGCGCTATGCAAATTTGTCTGGATATACCCTTACGATTTAGACTATATTATATTATGATGCTTTTAAATAGATAAAAATAATCAACGTCTTAAATAGAAGTTAAATAGAACTCTTTGACTTCTTAAAAATTTTAAATCAAAGTTTTGGAAAAGCATTTTGCACTTTAAAACTTTTTAGGTCAATATAATATTTGGATTCTTTAAAAGTATATGTGCAATATACTTCATTATTTTTTTCAAGGCTACAAAAAATATTGCAAGACTGTACTTTCTGAAATGTACAAATACATTTCAATTTTGAAATATTGAAAGCCCGAGCTATCAAAATTCTGTCTTTCATATTAACTAAAATATATAAAATATTTTCGTGGCATTAAATATCGAATTTAATATTTCGCATTTAATAACATCAATTATTTCACAAAACAATTTCGATCGAGAAAATTAAATTCGCCTGACAAGTTCGCGAAGAAAATAAACTTATAGGAAATATATTTTGTTATTATTATCAGAGAACAAAGTTATTATCAGAGAAGAATGTTGTTAAGTAGAGCAAGAGAGAGAAAGAGAAAGATATAAAAAAAATAATTCTTCGAAAGTGCAGCTTATCAAGAACTGTGCGATTTCTGAATAACTGAAAGATATTTCACGTGATGTTCGCGCAAACTCGAAGAGATTAATGCAGAACCGGAAGAAGTTCTTCTATCGCCTTTTGTTCCTCATTTTTACAAAAAAAAACAGCTGCAACCCACTCCCCTCTGCATCATGCGTGATTTCAAGTTATTTACCGCGTTATCGCAGCGCGTATCAGCAACAATCCGATAAAGTTTATTTTAGAAAAAGCGATTCAATCAGCGACGTGCTGTCTTTCGTTTTAATCCATTCAACGTTGACATATGCAGGTTTTTTGTCATAAATTTGTCATCAAGTACAGCCGAAATTTTTACACATTTCTCTCTTCATTCTATCGATGCAAAAAAATTAAAACAATATCTTTGACAAATATCTATCCTTATATTAGAATACTTATCTTTTTATTTTTAATTTATTACGAACCATCTTTTAAAATCATTTCGAAAATCATTGTTCGAATCATGGTAAATCATTCCGAATTGTATAAATTTGTGCACAAAATTTTATCATCGTTTGATCTAGTTCATTTCGGTTCGATCATCTATGTATAGTCGATCGATAGAGTTTGAGGGTATTAATTAATAAAAAAAACACAAGTCTAAAATTTTTTAATTCTCTCGCTTATTGTCAGATACATCTTCTAGGAAATACTCTCGTATTTTATCTAATATTATTATTGTTAAATATGACAATCACTTAAGAATCAATGCTATATTGTCACAAGCGGAATATTTCGAAGAGACGAAGGCTGAGAAGGCTGACAGAAAGTACTAAGATGAGTAGAACGAATAAAATGAAATGAGAAAAGGACAGAAGACACGAAAGGAGACCTGCTGTGTGAATTCGAGATTGAAGATCAATATTCAGCAAGACAAGAGAGAGAGAGAAAGCGAGATTCGCCAAGCTGCGAACGGCAACGAGTGGACAAAACGCACGCGCGAGACGAAAGTACGGAAGCACGTTTCCCCCAGCTGCTGCTGCTGCTGCTGCTGCCGGCTGCAAGTGGAGGTGCTTTTAAGCGCACCTTGCCTAATTGCATTTTAGACGGATGTATATTTTCGGCGGGTGTGGTCGTATCGCGACAGGTCATACTTCGCCTCGACTCATGGTGTAAATTTCGCCCAGTGACACGTGAGTATTGGCAAGCAAAAGCAAGACGTGTTCCTCTTTCGCGAACCTACGTTCCGATAGTACGTATATGTGTGTACGCATTTTCCGAATGCCATTAATCGCCAGGATAACGATACATCATCCTACGTACTCTGGATGATCGCGAAAAAATTTGGTAAAATAATTATTACGTAAAAATCGCCGAGAGGAAATTTTATTACGAGACATGCGGATATCTCTTTAAAATTCTGAGTCTGATACTTTGTTGAAATAACGAAGTTTATTTTTATTATGAGATATTTATTGCAAGAAATGTGTAAGAAACTTTTCAAGATTTTTGTTTTCAAATTCATCAGAGAAAAAGAGAGTTCAAACTTTGATTACGATTAAAAGCAATTTAATAAGTTTTGACGAAACAAAGATATGATGAAAATATTATATATATATATATATTTAATGTGTAACACATTTTGTTTGGAGCATAATTAATTATTCTTTTATCATCGTTATTTCGATGCGACATTCTTTAGTTGTTTCTTATAAATATTTCAAACAAGATAAATCCAGAATATTTTCCAGAGATCGCGTATCTCATCAGCAATTTCATTCAATATCTTCCACATTCAATACTCTGATATTCGATACTTCATTATTTAATTTGACAACTCATTTAATTTTGAAATATTCTTAATTGTTGTTGCAAAAAATAGTTATTATTTCAGGAGACAAGATACTTTTATTTTTGCCCAAGAATTTATTATAAAATAAATCTCCCAAAAGAAAAGAAATTTTTATTGAGATAAAATATACTCAATTCTTTTGTCGAAGTTATTAAAATTACGTGTGCTCCGAAAATTTCAATAAATCAAACTTGTTGGAAAAAAAAATAAATAAAAAGCCAAGTGTATTATACGGAGAGGGATTTAACGAACGCATCTTGCTGTGCGCATATACGCAGCATAGAAATGAATCCCCTAATCCCGGCACTCCAATAGCTCGAAAGGCGCAACTCCAGCGGGAGCTTGCGGTGCATTCCATAGTGACATAGTGCATGCACATGCACTAGAGAAGCTGGGACCGCGCGGCTGCGCCTAATGACGGATGCGGTTTATCATTTTTACGAGACTGACTGTATAATTTACGCGCGCCACGCGCTATGCACATGCGATTATCAGATCACCAGTGACCGTCGTGCAGGCGGAGATGCTGGGAAAGACGCAGCCTTCTCGCGATATGTGTGTAAAGGGTTGCAAGTTGAAAAGCTTCGCGTTTCAAATGTCAATTTATCATGCTCGTTGTGAAAACGTGAGATAAAAGTGAAGAAAGTGAATGAGCGCGAATCGTTGATTTATCAACTTATCTGTCAGTTGATCGATCAGCTGATTTAATCGACTGTTAAATCCATCTTCATTTTTGTATGCAATATTCTGAAAGGAAAATTCATTCAACGCGTTTGAACAGAGGACGTTCTGGCTGCTGAAGAGAATAAAGACGAGAGATTTTTTTATACTGTAAGAGAGAGTATTTTCCATTCCGCATAATTTGCATACTATACTATAATTGATTTGATATTGTGTGCAAATGTTTTGATACGAAAATCTATCGGCACTCATCGAAATGTGATAAAAACTATGATGTAATCCGATGTATTTGATGATTCTATATCTAAAAGTGTAGCCTTACACTAATTAAAACGATGATATTCTGATATGAAAGGAGATGCTTGCTTTGATATAAAAAGACATCTTTGCTGTAATACATGTAGTCATTCATTAAAGTAGAATATTGACGTGATCATCGCTTCATAGACCAGGAAACAAAATATAATGTATAATCAAAATCGATCATTGACGGAATACAAAAAAAAATTCTTGGACGGATATTTAACATTCACTTCTTTTGTACCAAAACTCATGCTCATTGACATAAGTTGTAATGCTGTGTTTCACACAATGATATTGTTATCCATTCTTATAATCTTTATTGACTGATAACTCGTTATGAAATAATGCATATGCTCCGATAAACTTATAATTTTTGAAGAGCCAAGATAGTGTTTATCAAATTAATGAATGTGTTAGCTTTTTTTAATTATTTTTGCATTAAATTGGAAAATAAATTATCACACATCATATATGATGAATTAATACTGTAAAGGTTTGGTGATTGTTTTTTTTAAACAAGGGCTTCTTTTTTAATCTAGAAGTTAAAAAATTCACAATTAAAAATTAAAGAATTACACATGACACACATAGATTATATATCACTCGTTAAAATCAACAAGTGATCTTTTTAAAAGTTTGTTAAAAATAAAATTTCGCTAATCGTATACGCCTCTTCATCTCTTTATTAAATCATTGTAATATCGACAAGATTAACGATTGTATAATTTTGCCGCAATAAGCACTTTTCCGTGTCTCGCGCGCGAATATCTAGAACATCGCGATTATCTATAATAATTCGCCGATTCGATGGCGAATCGATTACGATCTCACGCAAACTTTCACTTTCAGAAACAATTTAAGTACAAGAGCCTAGAAAAGCTATACACGGTCTATCAGAGGCGATTACAATATGGTTATCTCTCAATATTCATCTTGCTGCAACTGCTGCTTGGACTCATATATTGCTTGACTCTGATCACAATGGTAAGGTCAACATTTCATTCAAATATAATCGCACTTTTATATATGTGTATTAGTCTCTAAATAAACACAAAAGTATTCAAAAAAAATTCAGACCGAATAAATCATCCTTTTTATTTAATATATTACGAAAATGTATAGCTATCATTTAGATTGTTAAGATCCTTGTATTTTTAAATCTTGATCCTTGATCTTTGATTCTTAATTATAATAATTGTTAATGTTATTGATGGTTTCTATTTGCACAAGTTTAAAAAAACGAGAATCTAATAAAAATATGTGATTGAGAAAGATGTTTGTACTTGTCTTGTTTTCGTATTTAGGTCAACATAAAGGAATGCCTGCCGGACATCGTAGTCTATTGTATCGTAGGTTCTCTGCTCTGTCCTATGATCGCCCTGTCATTCAGATCGAAGATCATCGCCAAAAACACCTATTTGCCGATCATGCTTTCTTGGCTGATCGTCGTGCTCTTGGTCGCCGCTGATCTAGCTATTCCTCTGTATTATACCTTTGCCTATGCCGAAGGCACCCCGCCGATAAGGTATTGATAACTCAACTCAAATCGAATGAATAATTATGCAAAGGTCTGTGATTATTATCATTAGTTATTGTAGCATCTGATCTTCGACACGGAAACTTCCTAGTGACAGTTATATACTTCTTTAACGAACAGTTTATCACAATTATTCTGTGATAACTATGTCTGTCTTCGTAAGCGTGTAAATATTTATTTTTGATAAAAATAGATGTGTCTTTTTATCTTCGTAAAATGTTTCCAGAAAAGAACGGTTGATATCTTTATCGAGTGCAAAATAATAACAATTAAATCAATGTAAATGATGTCTTTTTATAATAAAGTGTTGCGCGTCATGATGTTAATTACGCAACGTATTCTTTACGTAATTAGAAGACGTCAACGAATTGGAAAATTAAGAAGTGACGATTGTATAACGCGAATAACTTGTTTATGATAATTTTACATACATGGAGAGTCAAATATATTGTCTCAATCGACGTGTCATATTTTTTTTTTGTTTTAAAGATCTAAAGATGTATCTGGAAAAGCGCGATTTAACGCAAAGTACATAATTTGTTATTAGTAAAAATATTATTTTTCAACGTAAAAGACAGCTGGTTTTTCAGTAACAAAAGAATAGATATATATATGTATGTACAAAGATTCAAAATATCCTTGATACATATACGGGCACTTTCTATAGTTTCTGCCAATCGTTTCTTGCTCAAAGCTCAAGATCTTTTCGCGCAGTAGCAACATTGTAGCTCTTTCAATTTTCATTAATAAGCACAGATCTATGAATTTGCTATATACAAAATACATATGTAACATCTATACATGTATATATATTTAACTTTTAGACCGGCATACGCGACTCACGCGCTACTCGCTTGTTACGTATTTCTGCCGATCACGAAGAATTCACATGCTTTCGTGCTCGGCCTCACCGCCACCATGTGTTACCTAATGACCCTGTCGTTAATCACTTACAGCAACACGTCCGATCACATTACCAAGGTAAACCCTCTACAACCGCCTGACGTAAGCGAGATTGACGTGTAGCTAAGAACAAAATTCTACTTTTTTCCTTTTTCTCAACTACAGATTGTCGCCGACGCGATATACTTCGTGTGCATAAACGCTCTGGGACTTTACTTCAGGTTTATGAACGAGGTCGTTATCAGGCGCTCCTTCCTAGATCGCCGGAAGTGTGTTGAATCCACGCTTCGACTCAACTATGAAAAGGACCAAGAAGTAGGTCTAGATTAAAATAAATTTAACCGGTGCAATTAATTTATCATATTTGTCCAATATTTTGCATTTTTTTAATAGTTTTGATTGATAGAAATAATATATTAAAGCTAAAATAAAAACATTAATTTCAATACAATTTTTCATAACGAGAAGAAATTTTTTTTCAAGAAAAAATCTAAAAAATTCCTGACTTTAATTAAAACGAAATTTAATAAAAAATACACGTCAAAAATCTAAACATGTGTTTTGTACGGAGAATAAAAGAAACGAATTTGTGATGCTAGGCACGTAAGCTCGCGGTTGTTAGAAGTACATTGCGAATTCTTCTTGCCTTTCGCATTTTAACTCTGTGGACACTGTGGTTTACTCTCTTATTTTTACGTCTATGAAAAATACAAAAACACAACAATTTCTAAAGTTGTAAATTAATTAAAAATTACGAAGATATGTCGAACGAAAAGAAATCGAAAGTCTAATTTAATGATTTAAAAAATTCAAATTGTGGAGATTTAATGCTTTAAGAAAAATCGGGGATTTGTATCTCTTAGAACTCAGGATGATCATTAACATTTACAGGAACAATTGACGCGGAGTATATTGCCACAACATATAGTGGCGAAAATAAAAAAAGATTTTAGGGATATTTTCAAATTCATAGAGGAGCACAAGAAAAGCCCTCCGCCGAAAGGCAGGCCGCACAGGTATATATTTGTTTCATTAATAAATATTTTGTTCATCAAGCAATTATTCGTTAACTTAATCACCTTCTTTTAAGCGATCTGTGTGTGGAGACGCACGACAATGTGAGCATCTTATATGCGGACGTGGTGAATTTCTCTGGACTTACCGTAACGTTACCGATACGAAAACTCGTGGAGACCCTGAATGATCTGTTCGGGAGCTTCGACGAAGCATCGGAGAGGCACAACGTGTTGAGAATCAAATTTTTGGGTGACTGTTACTACTGCGTGAGCGGTGTACCCACGCCGAATTCCCAGCACGCCAAAAGCTGCATTGATCTCGGTAAATAATGGTCCAAAATGCACCTTGTGTCATCTCGCGAAAGCGAACGATGCAGGAGTCTAGTAAAGTTTCGAACATGTTCCTAAAACACATGTACAAGTTAATTATTTACAATATATTTTACAAAATTATGATATGAAACAATCAGGGAATCAAGGGTATATTTTTTTATAAAAACTAAGATAAAGAGTGATTTTCTTTTGATTATAAATATTATTTTGCAAAATGATGCGCAGGCCTTGATATGATAAAAATCATCAACGAGGTGAGAGCGCGAGTCTATCGCGAGAGCGGCGTCGACGTGAACATGAGGATCGGAGTGCACTCGGGCAACATAATATCCGGAATCCTGGGCACGAACAAGTGGCAGTACGACGTTTGGTCGCGCGACGTGGTGATAGCGAACAAGATGGAACAAACTGGAAAGCCCGGCAAGGTCCACGTGACTCAGCAAACCTTGGATCTCGTTAATGTGAGCGATTACAATTGCGCCCCGGTCGAAAGACTGGACGACGAGGTTCTGCAAAAATACGGAATACGCAGCTACCTCATCACGCCGTCCTTGCCGGAAACGCCGATACCGACGCGGTGCGTGTCTTCCGGTGGCGTAGGAAAATTATAACTCGTATCTATACATCGTTTTAAAGTCAATCAATTCATATCGATATCCACAAATCGTTAGTTTCAAGATCTTAAAAATGAAAATCCGCAGATCGAAATCATTCATTTATATTTAAGAGAAGATTTTTCATCATCGATTCTTTTAACGATTATATATTGTATCTTAATCTTTTTATTAATTTATACGCTTCATAAATCTTGCATGTAACACAAAATCAAGCTTCTAATATTGAGTGAATATTCCTACGCCACTGATTTTTCACACTGTCTTTTGGTCGAGTAAATTCCCATTGAGTTTCACATCGTTGACAGACAAACTTTGTTGCAGAACAGCGAGAACAGTTTGAAGGTCATTAATTCGGACCCGATTCTGTCATACCCTACACCTAACAAACATTACATCAAGTTCTACAATGGACGCTCCAATACTATTGTCAGCAATACTTCTAGAACGAAATTGAACAATCAAGCGGACGTTTTCGCGAGCACTTACAGGCGGAGAACGCATTTTATGGATTCCTGTTTACGAGATTATCATTTAATGTTAAAAGCGGCAGATGCCGAGATGGAGAACGCTATCAATCAGATGCCTCTCAATAAATGGGAGTAAGTTTTTTATAATTTTATATTTTTATAGAAAAACATCTGTTAAACTTCTTCCATGTTTAAAAGTCTGATCCTTGAAAATTCTTTTAGGGCAAAATTATCTTTAAAAAATAAAAATATCAATATAGTAAATTGAAGTAATACTTCTTAACGATTAAATTTTTCGATTTTTCTAGACAATGGAGCAACTGGAAGCACATAAATCCACTTTTCCTGACATTTCGGCAATGGAGTTGGGAAATTCCATTTCTACGTGAACCGGATCCTCTCTTCAAGTTTTACATAGGCTGCTCATTTTTCGTGCTAATCTTCATGGGGCTCATATATTTCACATCCACGCTTATGCTCTCCCAGTACATATATCACAAATATCAGTCTGATAATTGTAAGCCATCAATGTCAATGTAATAACTACGAAAGTTTCGCTAAACTTTCAGATGGTATCTGAGTACAATTGTCAGTTACTCATCGGCGATGATGTTCTTGGTCATTTTAATACCTCTCACGTGGATGCATTTTGTGTGGAATCGCTGTAAGGACCCGCACGACGAACACGAAGGACACGTTCCGCATCCACGGAACAAATTGTTATACTTCTTTTACCAAACAAGCGTAAAGGTGAATATAATTTATTTAAGATTGATTGCCTCTTGCACTTATTTATATCTTTAAATTAAATCATTTTTTCTGATTATTCTAATTTGACGTAGGTTATATGGAGCGCTCTTTTGAGAACAATCTTGTACCTGGTGATCACGATAATGTTGGCGGCATGCGCCATGTTTGACATGATTGTAAGAATTTTTTTAAATTATTTTTTTTTACTTTTCGATTATTTTATCCGTACCTATATGTTTTACGAATTTAGTTTTCTTCTCTGCAACATAAGATTATTAATGTAATTATTTTTTGTTATAAACTAGAAAGTAAAAAGAGCTTTCTAACGCGATGAAAAATATATTAAAATTCTTTTCAGTTCGAATGTAAAAACGGAAACAATAACGTCACGTCCAACGAGTGGGAGACTGGCGCTTCCAATTTAGAGTGCATGGTTACACCTTGGGTAAGATTATTTAGTAGGTACACGGTGCAGAATTTCATTCACGTGAAACTTTTTCTTGTCTTCAACGACTTCGATATTGCTAATATCAATGGTTCCTTTTTTGCAGCAAATGACAGAAACCTGCTCGTTGGCTATCCTCACGAGTTTTCTCTTTCTAAGGGTCCACTATGCTTTGAAACTCATAATAGGCATCTGTGTGGTAGCCTTTTACGCGTGGAACGTGCATCGATGTAATCTATTTCATGTACGTGTTATGTGTATTTAAAAAAAAATCTTGTTTTTTCTTTAGTACGATATAAAATGGATTTTATATACATTCTTCAGTCTAGCGACACGTGGAATCCACACTTGGAACCAAAAGTAGCACATATATTAACTGTGGCATTTCTCACGTTTTCCTTACATCTTATCGATCGTCAGGTGAATCTGCCAAAATTGCATTTTCGTGAAATCTTCTGGTCGTTATTCGTTAACGATTTAACTTTTATAAATGTCTTCGTTTAGGCAGAGTACCTGAGCAGGCTAGATTATCAATGGAAACGTCAGCTAACAAAGGAACAAGATGAAGCGTTTCATACGAGGAATGCTAATAAGCTTCTACTACGTAACATTTTGCCGGAACACGTTGGTACGCTTATTTTTTACAATTATTTTATATGTTTTTCTCAAATATCCGATCGATATTTTGATCAACATATATAAAAATAACATGTAGAATAATATTTAATATTTGAAATAATTATTATTATTATCCTGTCATTCGGTTTCTAGCGGAGTTTTATTTGAATATGAATCGAAGTGAGGAGAACGAACCTTATCACGAGGCTCACAGCAACGTCGCCGTAATGTTCGCCTCTCTGACAGGATTATCAATCGATGAGAGTAATATTCTCATCGATCTGAATGAGATTATCTGCGAATTCGACAAGCTACTCTTCGAACCCTGCTTCGTGTGTCGCATAGAAAAAATAAAGGTCGCCGGTGAGTGTTTTATGAATAATTCATTCTTTGAAAAATTGCGAATAGATTAATATTTACGAGGTAGATTCTAAACAACCTTGGCATTTTCATTACTATATCAATCAATCAAGAGCTTTGCCATAAAATGTATACTTAATTACATAAGTTTTTATTAAATCTCTTTGATTATTATTCGAAATTAAAACTCACTTAAAAGATAGATCAATATAATCATATAAATATAAATTAATATATGTATGAATAGATGATTTGAGAGATATACAATTCTGAAAATATACTTTAGTAAATTTTATAAATCTGTTAGTAAAAAAATGTAAAAAAAAAGAAAATTATAAAATTCCTCTACATTATATCGCTTCTATTCAGGAACAACATACATGGCAGCTTGTGGATTGGAAGCTAGTCGACGCAATTCGATGCATAGCACCGAGAGCGAAGAGGATTCTAATGACAATGTGGTCAAGGTGATGGCGCAATTCGCTGTACAAATGATGTCCGTGCTCGATAAAATGAGATCTTTTGCCACATCAAAACCTTACAAGTAAGTAATTGTAAACAGGCACATAAAAAGCGATAAGCAAAAGAATTTTAAACAATTGTGGCGAATTAAAAAATTCGCCACAAACGGCGATTTTTTTCTGAGGAATTATTAATAATACATATAAAATCTCACTCACGTGATCTTTCAGATTGAGGATCGGAATTTCTCACGGAGAAGTGACAGCCGGTGTTGTGGGAGCTCAAAAACCCTTGTACGATATTTGGGGCGATGCCGTAAATATGGCATCCAGAATGGACACCACCGGGTTACCTGGAAAAATACAAGTAGAATTTTTATTACTATTCACAAGACGGTAAATTTCTGAAACAGATTGTAATTTACATTTCTGATTCGTCAGGTGACAGCAGATACGGCTGCCGTCTTGGAACAGCAAGGTGTCAAGTGTCATCTACGAGGTGAAACGTACGTCAAACCGAAAGGAGAAGTCACAACGTACTTTGTGGGTGTCGATGAGAAGGGAATGTTGGAAAAAACAGATTTTGGAGAGGAAGAGAGCACCAGTTTATGACAAATGACAAATGATGATTCAAATTAATTTTAACGATTAAGCTATTATCTCCCGATCGACAAATCGCATAAAAAACATACAGGGTGTAATCGAACAGTCGTTCTCTACTGTTACATAGTATTTGTTGTAAATGACTAGAACGATTTCAATGGCAACAGTTACATAAAAAGAATTTCTATAATATATATGTTAGAAATTAATTGTGACACGAGAAAAACATGAGTAACAATGAAAAATCTTCATATCGTTTAAAATGAATCTCTAGTTTCATATCTAATTACATTTAATATATCATATATTATTCTACTTTTAAGAAAAAAATATTCATTGTCACAGTAAATGAGATAAAACAAATGAAATAAATAGCTCTATAAAATTTTATATATATAAAATGTAATATTTATATATAAAGATATATTCATGTACAAATTTTTAACGTCATACAATATTGATGTTCGCAGTGTAAATAAGTTGATAGTCGATACAAAGATGAAAATGATGGCATTGTTTGAACACATAAGAAGCGGCTTACGAGTTACACTCTGTAATGTTTGAATGAGCAAAGCCGGAAAAAACCAAAGAAAGTGTGAGAGACCAAAGAATGAAATGCGCGCGAGAAAGAAAAAGATAACGCGCGATAGTAAAATAACGTAAGAGAATATACCTCAAATGATTTATATAGATTGTACTCTCGAGATATATCGCGATAATGACGATTATTTTCCGCCGGCCACACTTTTATCGCCGTGTCATACTGCTAATCAAAAGATGAAAGAGATCTATATATATATATTGTACGTAATTAACAATGTTTTTACTATATACAAAAAGAATTATATTGTACAGCGTCCAAAGAATGTATACGATGTTTTTTCTGCATCGTGTGTTACTTTACACGTGTAAAATAATTATTAATCACAATAATTGGATCTCACTTCTCACATATGCAACAATGTTTTCACAATATTTCTGGATTCTATTTTATTATGTGAGAAGAGCGATACTGATAAACCGTATTCATTAACTTTCTATCTGTTAAATCAAAAGTAAAATAATACAGTCGCAAAATGATATAATTTAATAGTTGCCTTTTAAAATACATCTCTCTATCGACCATACAAATGATGATACGTTGCGAAAAAAATTACATAACGAAAAGAAATGTTTTTGCTTTTTCTTTTGAAAGCAAGCGAAATTGAAATAAAGTTCATTAATTATAGCGAATATGTGTATCACAACTTTAACGCACATCTGATGATATCTTACTTTTCCTTGTGTTTCTCTATTTTTCTGACAATGAGTATTGACAATGAGACTCTTATTTTACGATTGCGATTGCGTGTCGCAAAACACAAAGCCGAGATTGCGAGGAAGAATAACGCATTTATTTTTATATCAAATGCAGTAACGATGAAGCGATCGTTTGTTTATTTGTAAATATCTTTTGTATATATTTTTTAAATATAAAAATAATTGACTAAAATGTGATTATATCTAACGATTTGAATAAAATATTTATTACCGTGTATTTGTTTCATACTTTTATTCATCCTCACGAATCATAAATCCTTTAATTATAATTCCATATAAAAATGTAGATCAACATTTTAACGAATCATTAACATACAATACATCAACTTAATACAATCATTAATATACTATTAATATATGAAATTATAATTAGGATAATAAATAATTACTGCCAACGTAATTGTTATAATAAAGGTCAATCTCTTTAATAAGGCAATGTACAAAACGTCTCGCATACACAGTATGCATATTCATTTTATATCGAAATATAAAATTCATTAACAGTTTAAAATTAAATAATTAATGTACAAGATAATTCATTGAGATAATCGAGCCTCGCTTATTAATAGAGCTTCGGATCGATTATTCTCTCCCCTCCACCGACCCTCTCTTCTCTCATTTTTCCCTCTCAACCCCTTCTCTCTCTCTCTCTCACACTCTCTGCCATTCTCACTTTTTTTAATTCTTTATTTTCTCATCTCTTGAATCAATGTTCGATTAATTAAATTAGATTGTAGAAGCACTCGTGATTTTGTCATACATCTCAAAGAATAAGATATGTTACATTGCACAAAAATACAAGATTAAAATTAATTTTAATTAAAAAGGCACTTCTAACTAGAATATTATTTTATATAATGATTTTAATAACGAAGAATGGTTTCGCTATCGAAACTTTAAATTAAAATATAGTTTTTGAGAAAAAAGTGCAGTATATGCACAACAGGCTGTCTCAAACGTAATGTGTATCAGTATTATAATAGTGTTGCAAAAAGACTAGAAGCGGATACTTGTTTGAGGAACTTAATAGATTTTCAATTTTCAAGTAAATTTTAATTGATTTTCATATGAAAAATTAATTCAATTGCAAATTAATTTTTTCTTAGTATAACTTTCATTTATTTTGATATTTTTATTAATAAAAAATTTTCTATAATTTAGATATATATATATTTTTTTAACAAATTGGATAATAATTACTGAAAAAATAAAATTCTATTACTAAAGTATTTACATCTTATTATAATTATTAGCAATGTTCAATTGTTCAGCTAGACATTGTATAGAGATATTTTTTATTTACATTAATAAACTTAAGTCAATAACAGAGAGAATATTATTTTTTTTTACTTATTTATAATTAATTGTTAATTAACAATTATTAAGTAATATACACAAATCAGCTGCATCTCCGCAGCTTTGGCTAATTGTACAATATATAATAAATAGATGTTCGATAAAATGAAAAATAAAAGCCTGTTATTTACTAAATGTTACAAGTAATATTTTAAGAAAAAAATATTTATAAAATTTCTTTTTCTCCAAAAATGCATGTACTATATGTATCAGTACATATCTCAAGATTATTATACGTATCTTTTCTTGACATATTCTATATACATATAGTATATCAAGAAAAAATATATATAATATTCTTGATATAAAGAAGATCAAATTCTATTATACTGATTTTATGCCTTTGAGACAGCCTATGTATCATAAATCTCAATATAAACGTGTGAGGAATTTTTTATGCGATTGATCGATACTATACAATATCGCAAAATTTTCAAAAGTATTTTCCTATTTAAATACAGCACCCCGTTTATTAAATCGCACTGGACCATATTCCACGTGTACTCTACAATTTCCCCTCGCTCATCCTATTCGATCTTTATGAAGAATTATTATTTATTAGTGATACACAGTGATCGAAATAATATTAATTTGTTCGCTCGTCGATAAACGGTGCTCTAGCTTAATTGCCATCATCGCAATATTAAAAAAAAATGAAATGGATGACGAGCAATATAAAACGGATCAATAAATCAGATGAGACTTGAATCTTCGCGTAAGCAAATTAGAAATAAGGATATACAAACAATAAATATATCACTCGCGTGTGTTAAAATCGCGATTTTTGTAAAAGAAAAAAAAGGTATAGTCAAATAAATATATACGTCGCATTTTACGCGTTATCGCAATAATCATAATACATTTATGAGTCGCGCAAACGACTTACGTGCATTGATAAAACGACGTTCGAAAAGAAAATGCAACGAGAACGAGAATACGGTTTCGTATCGAATTTGAGAGTGTTGGAGAAAGGTCCTCGGTATTATTTTATTAAACAATATCAGAGTTCCACGATTTTCTTTTTTTTTTTTTTTGCCTTTACTACACTTGTTTCCTATGCGCATTCACTATCGGTCTATATCATATATATCGCAACGATTCGCTTGCTTCCAAATGGAACATAACATAGCATCAATCAATTGGCAAACATTGGAGAGAAATTAATATATTCATCAATGCGATAAAAATTAAAATTAATGAATTTTCGTAGAATTTTGTAAATAAAAAACCGAAATCCGCGTAACTAAATAAATTCGTGTCCATACTTGTTAAAAAGACACGTGATGTAATACCTAAATAAACAAACAATAAACAATTTTGTGCACGGCTAATGAAACAAGCATATCGTTCCGGCAGAGCCTTTATACACGTTTTACATTTCTATTTTCCGGTCACAACTACAGAAAAATATTAACAATTACACAAGAGCACCTTATATCGATAGCCTATCTTTTTCTTTCTTTCTCGAATTAATATCTTATACATAAGACGATTCTACGTGTTTCTGTAGTTCTCACAATATAAAGAACGAATTGAAAAACATGACGTTTCAGATTGATTCTCTGCAACTTAATTATTATTTATTGCCGTTTCTTTATGAGAACGATTTACTATTAAACATTCATCTACATGTGTACATTCGAGAAACAACAATAGGGAAAATGTACGAAACGGACCAGAACGTAAACACTGCATTTTATTAATACACTTTAGATGGTTCATTAAATAACGCCTGTATTTTTTCCTTTTTTTCTTCTTTTTATAATGAACCTCAAGCTCAAACAGGAAAACATAGTCAAATAGGGTTGAAGATAGGGAAATAGATGATCGTGGTTCTTGTGTTCAAAAGTGAATGAGGAAGGAAAATAATAAGAAGATCTGTGAAGAATAAATACGATTGAGAGAAAAAAAAATACAAAAATTGGAACTGATATAATTCTGATGCGCTCAATTCCCGGTATATAATAAACATAAAATTTATTTTTTTTTTTTTGCGTTATTAGTATACAGATGGAAATTTGAACTCAGCAAAACCACACCAGTTTCAATCGTTGATATCAATCAACTATCAAATTAAATATCGTTATTTGCGATTTTCTGTGCTCAATATCGCTCGCTAATTCATCAGAATACGATTCTCTTCGCATTCAATCACTCATTTGACGAAGTTATCATTACCTTCTCTAACATACATCAACAACACAAACTCTCTTTACACGAAAATTTATGAGGGCGGTGGTGGTGATTAATCATTATCGGAGCGGCAACGAGCGGCCTAATTCATCATACGTATTCTCAATCATTAATCGACTTACTAGCATGTACATATATGTACATGGGCGAACTCAAGCCGCTTCGATAATATCTGTAAGATCTTAACGAAACATGTAATATGTATATGCGTATAGCTATATATGTTTGTATATTATATATTTATAGTTTTTTATTTATATATTTATATAGGCGAATCAATCGCACACAAAAGAGTGAAGAATCTTCATTACAGAAGAATTCCAATTCTGGATCCAATCGTGTACATGTGAATGTATGTATGTATGTATGTATGTATGTATGTATGTATGTATGTATGTATGTATGTATGTATGTATGTATGTATGTATGTATGTGTGTATGTATGTATGTATATGTATGTATATGTGTGTATGTCAAAACACAACGATTCGCTTATTTACAGGGTGCCAAACGCACTTGGTAATATTTTCAATCTGATTACGACGACGACAATTGAAAGTCGTTGTCGAGTCTTTTGTATTTTGCGTTTATCTACCAATTACTGCCTCGTCCCCGACCTCTAAAGCCACCGCCGCCGCGAAATTGCCCACCTCCGCGTTTCAGTCCTCTCGGCGAGAAATTAGAGGCCGCGGGTCCGCGCGGCCCTCTGTCCATCCACGGACCGCGCGGCGGTCCACCCCTGAATCCTCTACTTCCTCTAGAGGGTGGAGGCGGCGGTCCGCCTCGCCAAGGCGGGAAAGGCGCGCCGATGCGCGGCCGAAAGTTCGGCCCGTCATACTCGTACATCATCGTAGAATGCGGTTCCGTCGTCGACGTGCTAACGTGCGGCGAGGGACCATTTGGTCCCGATGACTCGCTGCCACCCGACGTTTGCGGACCGTTCGGCAGCAGAGTCCTTTTCTTGTTGGAATTTCTTTCGTCGTGACTCTGTTCATCAAAACTGCCGTTCGTCGACGGTCTTTTGAGTTCGTTACCCGACGTGGTTGTGCTCATCAACTCGTCCAAGTGCTCGTTTTCCGTGAAATCCACTTCTTGTCCCTCATCGAGCGACTCGCACTTGTCGATCGCACTTGTCTTCTCCGCAGCTTCGGCGTGCTCGGTCGACTCTACATGCTCCTCGTAGTCTGAAATAGGAACATACTGATTTGGTTGTGGCGGATCATCGCTGGCACTGTCAGATGTTACTGGAATAACCGTCACTTGATTCGATGACGATGGCTGATCGTCCGACTTGATCGAGGATAATGCCTGCTGCTCATGATCTGGGCCTAATTGGTAACCTTGTTGATTACGCTCAGATTCGTGAGAACTCGGCGCGTCGTGCGATTTCCGTCGCACCTGTGGTATCGAAGACCCCTGACAATTATTGGAATCGCGTTCCGACTCGACCTGAGCATCCGCCATGTTGAGTGTTATGTTGTTGTCCTGATCGAAATCCGGCATACCAATTGGCATGCCTTCCTCGTCGAGGATTACGACGGTGTCGGGTGGTTGCAGTATCAATGGTCGACTATTAGGCAAGGTATCTGGCGACGATTGCCGATGCTGATCCTGCGATCTTGACTTACGACTATTCGCCAGACTGTTGCGTTGCTTCATATTGTGATCGTCCGAATATCGATCGCGGCGGTTCCTCGAAAATCCACGTCCGCCATTGCCACGACTGCTCCGTTCGTTTCTATGGAAGGACGAAGTATCGCGCTGATCCGTCGATTGCGAGTATCTGCCGCGTCCCGATGGTTCGGTCAAAAAATCCTGTTTGGACCGAATAGAGTGTTCTCGGTCGCGATACTCAAAATCCTGCGACTGATGAAAATCTTGCTGCGACTGATGAAGTTGATGAAATTCTTGTTGGTTCGAGTGAAAGTCCTGATTCGGCAAAAAATTTGGCGGTGGTAGTCTGTTTTGATGAAAATTCGATTGATTTCGATGAAAATCTCCCGACTGATTGCGATGAGAGAATTCTTGTTGCTCTTGCCGAAAACCACCTTGACCTTGATGCTGAAATTGTTGCGACAGCGACGGAGGTGGCGGCGGTCCTGAATGCATCAGGTGTACATCTTGTACGAGCTGACCACCACGAGAACCCGGCATTTGTCCGGCAGGAAGAGAGATTCGCATGTCCAAGTCAAAACGAGAGGTGGTTGACGGCGGCATGCCGACACGCATGTCACGATCCTGCGATCTCAAATCAACCAGAACTCTGCCTTTTGGCTTGCTATCAGTCTCATCATCCGACATCTCCATATCAACGCTCTCGACAATATCGCCGGGTTGCATGCGTCGCCTAAATTATATAAATTATATAAGAAATATATAAAGACAATTGTACGAGAAACAGAACAGAAATATCAATTGTACAAGGAATGTAAATGTCTAGGTACAATTATATAAATTATACGAAGAGGAAGAAAGAATAAAACAAAACTCACCGATAATCTTGATCACTTGTGGACCATAAACTGTTGTTATTAGGTAAAGAAGGTAGCGATGAATCACCGAGACTATTGTGATTGGCCGGACTACCCGTCAGACTAATCAAATTACGATGATCCACATCTGCCGCCTTCATCAAGCGATACGGTAACTGATTTTCGACAGTCATTGGAATTGGAATCACTCTGTACAAATAATACAAATATATAATATAGTGATTCTAGTAATAAAAAAAGCATATAAATAATTAATTAAAAATTTAAAAAACAATAAAACAATATAAGAAATTAATTATACATTACCTGTGATCCACATCTCCTGTGGTATTAAGAGATTCTTGTGCTTGCGGCTCGTTGTATTCCACCGGCTCGGCGAAGCCAGATTTCTCATACATAGGTGGCGATTCCGGTGTCTCGGACATCTCGTTCTTGGTCCTGCCCGGCCACGTGGAATCATTATTGGAATCCCATCTCTCTCCGTCGCGGTCCATCCAACTCTTTTTATCGTCGCATTCGCCGGGCCACGTGGGATTCATGCTGTTTTTTCCTGAACATATAGCGAAATTCGCTATATCAAACAGCATGTATTATCATGCAGCAATGGCAGAGTCAACAATTATATTCATAAAACATTGTCTGTCTACCTTTTTCTTCCCATTTGGCCGACTCCTTGATGCTTTCGTTTGGCGGTGTCCACGTAGGAAATTTCGGTGGTAATTTGTTGTAACAATTCTCATCATCGAGAAAAATGGGTGGTGGTAAGGTGGAGGCGGTAAAGGATTAACTACACTAGGGTTAGCGGAACCATCAAAAGGACCAGTTACATTACTCTGACTGTTTTGACTGGAATACGGAGAGGGTGTGTGCGATTCAGCAGATAGATTGCGAACCGCCAATGGAGTACTGTGACTCATTTGACAATTATTTAAACCAGCACCAAGAGGTGGCGCACCCTGACTACCCATCATTCTTGAAATCACAGGCGTTACAGGAAGTTGAGGTGAGTTTCTATAATTGCTGCGTTGTGGCGATTCTACTCGATTCTCAGAAACGTCTAGGCCTAAACCTGGTATTCGACCCGATTCTGGAGTTCCGTCGGAGGACGGAAGAACCGTTTTCAAAAAACTAGATATATTGAAATCAGCATTGCTGTTTTCATTTTTTGACGGTCTCATATTAATCACTTCTATTGGTTTTGCCTAAATCACAAAATAAAAGTTAAAACATGTAAAAACTTTCTAATACAATCTTGCAAATACAATAATTACCTCCAAAGATTCATTATATGATTGAGACATTCCAGGAGGTGTTGCAGATCTTTCATTGAACAAATTTCTCTAAAAAAAAAAAAAAAGTAAAGAAATAATATACAATCTGTTTATAACGATACAAAGTCATTAAACTTTTTGTGTTGTATAAAATAATGTATCTATAGAGAACTATATTACTTCATCTCACCATATTACCAAAATCCATATTTCCTCCTATAAAAGAGGGAAAATTATTGGTAAAGTCTCCCGACTCGTTGCCTTGTACCAACTCAGGTGCAGGGACAGGTACAGGATCATACTCGTGAGAATATGAACCATAGAGAGATGGCGGTGCTACCTCAATTATTCCCATTTGATTATTCGTTGCCTGTGTTTCGTCTCCTGGAAGTTCTATATCGCTGTCGGGACTTGGCGAAGGTGCGTTCACGTCCGGCGACGGTATTGGCGAAACGAACGTCGGTAGCAGTTCGTCCAAATTTTTCTTCAAATTTTTCACACGACTACCAAAATTCCGGTACGCCTATTCACAAAAAAATATATAGTTGTATACATACATATTGTATAACAAATAATCGATATTTAATCTTTTTTATAAAATATTTACATTTGTCACTATTTTAACTTCCCCACGTTGAGTTTCATAAAACTGATCCGCTTGCTCCAACAATTCAAGCACTTGTGTCCTTTCCCTGATCTCTGCTTCTAACGATCGAACATAATTTTCAAAATTTTTTACAGCTAAATCTATTTCCTTTTCCGCATCCTCCATACGCCTTCTGTCCTTTAACGACGCACGTAACTCTTCCACAGATTCTATATCTATATTATTTTCCCTCAAGTCACGGAGTCTGGCATCAGTCGCTTGTTCCAGAGTCGCGCAAGATCTCATTGTAGAGATGAGCAAAGCCGCCTGAAACTCATCCGGTTGTGAACTCTGCTGGGGTTCCAATTTCTTTTTTGGCGCCGCCGAAATTAAGCCGGACAAATCAGTGAGAAACTCTTCATCATAGATTTGTCGCTGATCCCAGATTTTGAAGATTCTCAATATACGATGCTTTACTTTCTCATCACGAACCATAGTTGTTGCACGTTGCAAAGTAGTGCCCCATGATTCCACAAATTCAAAATTCTTCCTTTTTGAGTATTGGATAACATCATTTGCCAGATAGAACAATGTAAGCCGATGTTCAACTTTCACTGTTACACACAAAGGACAGAATGTTTTACATATTTATATATATTTATAAATTACACACGTCAAAATAAAAACTTATCTAAAAATGATTTAATCTGACAGAAACTCATTTGACAAATCACTTGACATAAACGTTACCAAGAAATTCATCTTGTTACTTTAATCAAAGAGACATACATAAGACTGAACGATCAAAAGCATACTTAAATTTACCTTTTTTCAGGACTTGCAACCACGTGGCGACAATCTTCTTGTGATGCTGTCTTCTCTCCAGACACCACGCAGACAGCCCTTGTATGGACTCCTGCGAGTCCTTCAGTGTATGGAGCCTCCGCTCGAAGAGCTCCACATCGAATTCGCTGTTCGCCATCGTCCAAGTGTTACCCAATGCTCATCAGTTGACGGACTCGACAGCCCATCACATTGTAAACATCAACTACCGCGAAAAACACGCACGACGACGTCCAGATATCATAGAAACTTGCACGAGAACGATTTTCACTCGGCGAACCTAACCAAGTTCGCGCTCCGTAGCAGGCGAGCGGTAAACACACAGTTACAGAAGAAGGGGGGAGGGAGGGAGTCACAGAGAAACCCGCGATGGCGCGCGATGACTACTTCACCGATTCGACATCCTCGCTTCGGGTCTCGCGACCTGTCAAGCGAGACGTCAAACAAAGCGATTTGACAGCACTGAACCCGGACAGTCCCAAGGCGTGCGAGCCACACGCTTCGCGCGCCGAGTTTCTTTGAGGGAGGGAGAGAGAGAGAGAAAGAGAGAGAAAGAGACAGAGACGAGGACGCCGAAACGAGGCGACGAGGACGACGACGACGTCCCCGGGCGATTCGCGCACGCGGATTGTCACTACGACGCTCTACCGCGGCTGCGACCTTCGTGCGTCCAGCATGTCAACTTTCGCGCGAGATCCCTTTTCAGAATCCTGCCAGTCGCGTACCGACGTGCCGAGTGCGCGAGCGATCTTGAAAACAAGAGTCCGCCATCTTTTCGCTCGGCCAAAACACGACCGCGCAATGGCCGGCACGGCACAGCCAGTGACGTAGCATCTCCATCGAATTTCGCGCGTTCACGCCGTTGCACGTGCTTATATATACCATTTTTTATAATTAAAACTTTTTTTTTCCTTTTATATATCATTGTTTTCGTTTCCCTAAGCGTAGCTGAAATTGATGTTCACTTGTATCTTAAAAATATACTCATGCTCTATTTAAAATTGTACTTGAAAACTGTTCAAAATAATAATGAAAAAACACTTGATATATATAAATGTCAGCTTTTAATTAGTTGAAAAAAAAATTAATATAATAATAAAAAAGGATATATATATTAATATAAATATATTTCACACACTCTATTTAAAATTGTATTTGAAAAGCTATTCAAAATAATAATGAACAAACACTTGATAAAATTTCAGCTTAATTGTTCGAAAAAAATATATGAATATATTAGAAAAAGGATATTAATTAATAATAATTAACCCTTTGAGGGGCCTTCGATGCCTTCGGCACTTTTACGCAAAGGCTTATCAGAGGTCGGAGATTCCGGTTGTGATTGGATCAGCATATAGTTAGTAGCGCTTCGTTCTGGTACAAGTATTTTTCTCGAAAGTGTCCACTCTAGTCTGTCATTTGAGCGTAGCTTGCGCTCCGGGGAGGGACTACGATCGCTGTCACTTATCGTAACCGGGAAACGGCTGGAAATAGCATCGTCATTGTAATATCACAGATTTTTTTTTGTATCGTAATTTTATTACAAGATTAAAGTCCAACGAACGTGCGTGAGTTCACCTCGTCGATCGGCGAATCTCCGTCAGTTCTGCAACTGCTACGTCGTGCTTTTGCGTCGTCATTTTTTTCTCTTCCTTATTTCTCCGCTCTCTCGCAATTTAGCGATTTCTCTGCGATTTAACATCTTCACTCTCCATAGAAATTTTTTGTATTCATCATAACTCTTCGTGTTCGTGTGCGTTCCCAGATCGAAAGAATTAGTCAAGATGGTTCACAAACCGAAGGTATACGTGATCGGCGTTGGGATGACAAAATTCGAGAAACCTGGCAAACGAGAGGACTTTGATTATCCGCAAATGGCGAAGGAGGCTGTGAGCAAGGCTCTACAGGATGCCCAAGTACCTTACAAAAGTGTCCGAGCTGTCTGCGTTGGATACGTCTACGGCGACTCCACTTGCGGTCAGAGGGCCGTCTACGAAGTCGGCCTAACCGGATGTCCCATTTATAACGTCAACAACAATTGCTCCACCGGCTCCACCGCTCTCTTCCTCGGCAAACAGATTGTCGAAAGCGGAAACGCCGATTGTGTCCTGGCCCTTGGATTTGAGAAGATGGAGCGTGGATCACTGATGTCCAAATATTCAGATCGTACAAATCCCATGGACAGACACGTCGAGCTGATGGCAGATATCGCAGGTAAATTATATAGGCTTCTAAAATATAGAGCAGAATGATACTTGATTTGTACGATGACTTATGTATTTCATTGTTTGATTGTAGGTATTTCGGAGGGACCCATTACTGCTCAGATGTTTGGTAATGCTGGAATTGAGCATATGAAGAAATACGGCACAAAGCTAGAACATTTTGCCAAGATTGCATATAAAAATCATCTGCACTCTACAAACAATCCCAATTCACAATTTCAAGATAAGTACACCTTGGAGCAGATAATGAATTCTCCCAAAATATTTGGACCACTGACAAAGCTCCAGTGTTGCCCTACCTCTGATGGTGCAGCGGCTGTCCTTCTAGCTAACGAGGAGTTTGTTCGAAAGCATCGCTTAGAATCCCAAGCTGTTGAAATTGTAGCAATGGAAATGACCACTGACCAGGCTACGACATTTTCCAGTCGATCGTGCATGAATATTGTCGGGTACAGAGAATAGAAATTTATACTTTTATAAATGAAGATACTAAATATACTAAATATACTTTTTGATGAAAATAATCGACAGTCTATTAATTTGCGATTATAATAAACTTTACAGATATGACATGACGAGAAACGCAGCCGAGAAAGTCTTCACATCGACCAACTACAAACCGGGCGACGTGGATGTGATAGAACTACACGATTGCTTTTCTGTAAACGAATTAATTACTTACGAAGCTTTGGGACTGTGTCCTCCTGGTTACGGCGGCAAGTTGGTAGACTCTGGAAATAACACCTACGGCGGCAAATACGTCGTGAATCCTAGCGGCGGTTTAATCTCGAAGGGACATCCACTGGCGCTACTGGATTAGCTCAATGTTCTGAGCTTTGCTGGCAGCTTCGCGGCATGGCTGGCAAGAGGCAGGTGCCGAATGCGAAATTGGCCCTGCAACATAATATTGGTTTGGGAGGTGCGGTTGTCGTAGCTCTTTATCGCTTGGGTTTCTCGAAACAGGCGGTGGTCAGGAAGCATGTGAGTGTCTCTGCCGATCCGAGCGTCTTCCAAGCAAATGTGCTATTCGAAACGCTAAGAATCGCGATGGAAGAGGACGAGGAGGGTCTGATCGAGAAAGTACGCGGCGTTTACGGATTTAAAATTATAAATGGCCCCGGCGGTGCTGAAGGATTTTGGATTGTCGACGCAAAAACAGGCAAAGGGAAAGTCGAGTATAATGGCAAAACCAAACCCGACGTCATATTTACGATCAGCGATACCGACATCGTCGATTTTATCTCTGGAAAATTGAATCCGCAAAAGGCCTTCTTCCAAGGAAAAGTCAAGATACAAGGGAACATGGGGCTGGCTATGAAATTGCCTGATCTGCAAAAACGTGCCGCGAAGAAAATTGAATTGCTTCGTTCAAGATTGTAAGATATACAAAGTGCAAATCTATAAAATAACGCGCGTATAATCGTCAAACACAAAGCATATCTTATTCTCGCGCGTTTTATCTTTCCTTCTCTATTTAGCTATCAAGGTTCACAAGCTTTATCAAATTTTATTTTCTTAATACGTAATCACATGGAATGTAATTATATGAGAGAATTCCCGATAAGCTTTAATCGGAATAAACAGATGATAAAGACAATCAATTTGTACATATTGACAGATATTTTTATGATGTATTGATAATAAAATTATTTCATATTACATGCTCGTGTATGTGATATATGCATGTAATAGTCTCAATATACAAATATGCAATTTCTGGAGTGTAAAACTCAATACATAAGCATATATAGAAATTCTCTCTTCAATTCAATATTTTTATCATAATAAATTCTTAAGATATATCTTGTGGCACATATAAAATCAAAATAATAATATATAGTATTGTGTAATCATATAAATTTGTAATAAACTATTAAAAATCGTTCAAACACAAATTAACATTTTGGATATATAAAGATTATATAAATAAACAGAAAGAGAGAAAAAGAAAATAATTTATATACTTTGAATGAGATCAATTAGATTATTAGAGGCAAAGACTTTGCATCTAGATACCAATGAACATTTGTACTATTGAGTATATAAATTACTTTTTATGCTTTGTTTTTCAGTGTTATGTAATTATGTTAATATAATTATAATTGCATTGTCATTTCTTAAGCAATTATTTGCTCTGTCATATTATGAGCACATTATATAAATGCATCAAGTAATATAGACGAATTAGACTTCTGCTTATTATTTGTTATTCTAAAGAAGATAATTTTTTGAAAAATTTTGTGAAAAGTAATACTTCTTGCACATGTAAATTTTAAAAATGAAAAATATTCAACAGAGTTAGATTAATTAATCATATCTGTTTTGAAAATTTGTAGAGCTTTTTATGGCAAGGTATTCTTTTACAATAATGTATAAAAGATATTTTATATGTATAATTTAAAATAAATTTTAAAATAGAAAAAATATCTATATATAAAAACAATAATAAAAAACAATTATTTTTTTAATAATTTGATGTATATAAATTACTTTTTTATAATTAACAATTTATGTTAAAATAGTTATTTGTGACAATTTAATTGTAGAAATTTAATGCTTTATTCAACACTCCATAATTGTTAAGAATTTTTATTAATACAACTATATAGAGAAGAGTATGGGACATTATATATTTTATAAAAATAATATAGCTTTACATAGAAAAATGAATAAAAAGGTAGATATGGGCTTAGCAAATATTATAAGAAAAAATATAGTTTTACATTTCTCCAATATCTTTATGAAAATAAAGTCAAACACGAATAAAAATATCTTTTATTAAAGTCTTTGAGTTATTCTCTGGCAAAAATTAATTTTCAATAATGTGCAATAGATTTTTATCATTAAATTGGTTAGGGAAAAAAATTACATATATATACGAAATATTAAAATGTTACACACTCGATACACTAATCACTTTTATAATAAGGTGTTATAATAAATGTATTGATGTATTATATATTATGTTTATACTTTTTTACGATGTGATCGGTGAAATGTTTCAAAGTGAATTAATAAAAGTTGACAAAAATAAATTATTGTTATTTTTCTATCCTTTATATATTATACTTATGTATATATTTTGCACTATATTTTTTATTGTGAATTTTGTTCGTTTTTTAGTTTGTAAATAACAATCTTTAGTACGGTTTACGTTATATAATAATTATTAGTTATTTATTTATCATAATAATTGCTAGAATAATTGCGCGATACTATTTTTTCTTCCTTAATGTCAAAACTTTTTTTTACTATATATGAAAATATTAAAGTTCGCGCACGAAAATTAAGATAGATAAATATTAAAATGATAAGACACGCGATTGCGAATATCTATTACAGGAAACTGCATGCCATTATGATAAGTTTATCAATATCTACAGATTACTTGCAGTAATGCATAGAATTAATCTGTGCATACAGAATTAATTGAGATATAAAATTTTAAAAGAAAAACCTTGCATGGATGTATGTTTTATATTGAAATATATATGCATTGTAAAAATATACACTTAATATAATAAATCTTTTTAAGATTGATAAAACGAAAAATCTGGCAATTTTCCAACTCCAAATCGCGGAATATTTTATACGTAGACATAAAATACAAAAATTCAAACTCATCTCAAAGTTCATTCGCGACGTGTTGCTTTTGCTTGTGCAATTATGGCGAAAAATTGATGAGGGAAAATTTCGTTTTGCAGATACACACGTTCGTATATAAACGTATATACATACACACTCGCATAGTTTTAAATGTATTTTGCTGCTTCCTTATATTTATAGCTAGAGATAAATATACATCCTGGCATAACTCCAAAATATACCCGCACACAGTTAGTTCGGCTACGGACAAACCCCGTAATAGCGGAGCTGTGTCAGTGCTATTAGTGATGTACGTAATATAGGAATCTTACGCTGACGCGTAAAAAAAAAGGAGAAATGCATAAGATCCGCGAGTAGAAACGAACTTTCACTTTCCCAGGAAGAAACGAGATTGCGAGAAACTATTTTGAACGATGCGAGTGTCGCCCGATTACGCGAAGACTATGCGATTTATCGTGTTCATTCAGGATGGAAGAAACTCGAACAACGAACCCCCATTTTTGACCGACTAATCAACATAATTTAGGATAAATTTCGTTCACCTCGGGTCTGCTGTATTCGTGAATTAATATCAGTACCAAGTCAGTAAGTAGCAGCATTGTACAATCGATGCAATTGATTGCGTAAGAGATATATAGATTATCGATAGATTACGATCGTACAATGCGATGTCTTCTTCATAACGTTTTTTATTTTTTTGGGTTACTACTTTATGCGTAGATAAAAAAAAGAGATTGAAAGAAAAAGGAAAAATATGGCATTGAAATTTTATAAATAAACTGCCGGTATGCATGGTTCTCCTAGTGCCATTTTTATTATGTATGCATTGTGAAAAATATGTCTAGATACAGTTATCGTTTTCTTGGCGGAGATTTCATTGATCAAAATCCTTTTATTATGCAATTTTCCATATTAGTATTTTTTTATTTCTTGACAATAATATTTTTTTAAATTATAATTTAAATGAGAATAATGAATTTAATAACTTTAAATCTTTTTGGATGTTATAAATGAAAAAGATGATCTTTGTATTATTTACATGTTTTAATTCTTATGTTAAACATTAACATTAATTGTATTCTTTTTTTAATTTATAATATAATTTTAGACATATGCCTATGCAAACACAAACTGATAATAAGAAAGAATTAAAAAACGATTCATATCGGCAAATTTATCACAAATATTTGCCTTTTTATTTCTGACAAGAATATATCTCGCGGCATATCAATTTAAATTAAAATTATCATATTTAAATGTTTCTCACGCGCTGTTTTTTCCTTTTTGCACTTCTTCGATTGCCTCTGCGTAAACAATATTATTAAAATGAATATATTACGCAATGCAAGAGATAAATGTACGTGCATATAAAAAATATTTTCTCGATAAAAGTATTTTGAGAAATGAGAAAAAATATTTTACTTTTGTAAATTTAAATACTTTCATATAAATCTTTTCATATTTAAAATAATATTAATCATGATTAATAACATATTTTAGCTGTATCAAGGAAACTTTAAGACTAATATAAATAATATTTCAATTAGATTTCTTATTAGAGAGAATTAAATTCTTTTCACTTGCACTTTTTTGCATTTTCTCTCTTTTTCATTCATAAACGTAAATATATATATTCATTTAATTTTAAGTGCAAATAAGAATGAGGAAAATATAATTGAGGAAAAACATTTGTACACAGAATGCATTCTATGTATTCGTCTAAGAAAGGCGATCCTCTTTGCCCTTTGGGTTTTCATCCACAAGTACGGTGGCCCACGCGTTGCAAACGGTGCTTCAGGTAATTGTTTTCGAAAGCGGAAGTTAAAATAATTAAAAAAATATATATATATGAAATTATATGTCAAATTGAATTTTCAGGGACTATAAAGAGCATGGCGGGAGAAGAAACAGTCTCGGAGACATCACGTCTTCTTCTCCTAGTCTTTCTTTCGATTCATCGCGGTAGGTTCTGAGTCATAGATTTAACAAAGTGCTTTATTACATAACGCGCATTTGTCGGCGTGTTTCGCGAAATTCGAATATCTTATAATACATTCTAAATTGTATATTTTTATTATGTGAACTCTTATCGCGAATAAATTTTCAAGTGGCCCTGAGGGTAAAAGAACGTGGTCTTCCGCTACAAATTTGGCGAAAGATGAAACCAAGACTAATAATTCGCAATCGGCAGCATCAACCGGATGGACATCCTTAATGGATCTTTCTGCCATAGATAAGGATGCACAAGATCCCAAATTAGAAAGTAATCAAAACGAAATATTGTGATAGTATATATGAAATTAATTAATATTAGAAAATATTAGAAATTGTTGAATTTTATGATAATTCAACCTCTATTGTTACAGATGTTAGAAAACCAGCGAAGCTTCAAATAAAAAATGTAATAAGCAACACCAACGGAGGCACTTCGGAGAACGATGTAGAATTTATAATTCAGGTATCTCTTTGTTAATTAAACCACTTAGTGCATGGAATGCTTTTTGTCGCAATAAAACACATGCACGCTTGTAAATTTATTTTGTATATGAAGGTGTCTTATCGGCTTAATTGTACAGCAGATGATGTAGTATATAGTAACATTCAATGATAAAAGTGAGCAAATATAAAATTCCATTCTGCGCTCTCATTTATCACACTACTTTAGGTAAGGAAATCACGGCCAGCACCGCCGAAACAGGTGGTCGAGGATGGCCTGGATAATGTCACGGTAAAAGGAGAAGAGTCCGAGAAGGTAAGACAATCATCGTTCTCGTTACTTTGACGTACACGAATTATCTTGCGATTAATAATAAATGTAATATATGTCGTTCATTGTTTATCATTGTATGCTCTTTTCTGTACACCAACTTCATAATGTTGTAATTTATGAAGCACCTGCGATAGCATCAAAAACTTTTACTAAATGCACTAGTTCATTTAAATGTTAATTAACTTGTTCAGATATTAACTCTCTGTGCAATCGTAAAATTCCGTTTCTGTATATATATAAGTTTGAAAAAAAAATTTCGAAATCTGTACATATGTATGGTATAATAATAATATATCCATATTAAATATATTTTGATCTTCTCTTAAATCTGATTCGTTTATATGATAGAAAAGAATTTTGTGCATATAAAGGATTTGCTCAGAAAAATGTTGAATAATTTTAATACCAGCCCGCCGATATATTTATATGATGCATATGGATTATATTTATAATCAGAATCGAGAGGATTAAATATAATTAAATTCGTAAATAATTCAGATTAAAATTAATGATGATGCTTACCCCTCGCAGAATGAAATAGAGAAATTGAAGTCCCAATTAAATGCTATGAGAGCGAGATGCGAGAAGGCGGAGAAAGAAAAAAGCGAGATATTGCTACGTCGATTGGCGACTATGGATACGATGTCGAACAAAACATCGATGAGCGAAGTGGCAAAACTACAAAAGAAAAATGAAGGTATTAGTTTCTCAATTTTGTGGAAAATGCATGAAATATTGTTTTTCTCTACATTAAATATATGATATGATATCGTTTATTTCACTCATCGTCTGAATTTTTGTTTTAATCATTGTATATCATTATCATTGCACATTCGTATTTTAGTACTTGCACAAGAAAAAAATTTATTATTGACAAAGATAAAAAGTTTGGAGAAAGAAACGAGTAATAGACCGTATAGAGGTGAAAAGGACAAAGTGCACGATGAATTACGTTCGAAACTTAAGGCGGCGGAAAGTCTTTGCGAAAGTTTAATGGACGAAAACGAGGATATGAAAAAGGAAATTAGACAATTAGAAGAAGAAATTTATGAGTTGCAAGATAATTTTAGGTACTATATTCTCTTGCGCTGTAAAAGATATTCAGCTTTGTGATGTATTATGCATGCTATTTGTTGTACTTTTCAAAGTGATTTATAATCTATATTATTTTATATAACATTATTCCATATTTATATATCACTTCATTAAAAAGATATATGTCGTTTTATAATATTTGTGGAAGATAAATAAATTTAATAAAAATAATTATTGCTTTAATTTTGTTTTAAAATTATCGTCTGTAACAACAGCAATCTTTGATATTGCAGGATTTTTAATCGTGAACTAATAATATGTTGACAATGTCTTACTCGAACCACTACTAACTATGACATTCGACTCCTTATATTTCTGTAAAGTGAATGATTTTGTTAACTGACGTTCTTTAACATTGTTTTTTATATGATTATTACATGCGTCTTATATGGTATGTCAAGATATTATCGCAGTATCTCTGTTCCTTTTGATAAAGATTATTGTACATTCTTTTGCAAAAATATTTTTCTAATGTTCAAAATCTTTAGTTAATATTTTTATACACAGGACAATGCAAAATAACATAATGACACATACGAAATTGAACTGTTTCATGTAAAAATTTGAAAATTTATATATGTCGAGACAATGAGATGCGAACGAAAGGATCAAAATCTTTTGCAAAATGAGCTATAATTGTTGCAGGACGACGATTTGGACAGATTTGCGACGTATGTGATCCTAACATGATGACACCTTCGTTTTTCGTCAAATACGGAACCGTGGGAATATCCTTATTTGGTAATCGAGCTTATGTAAAATTCATAAATTTTTTATTGCTTTTTATTTTTTGTGGGATCACATTTTTTTTACAAATGACTATAAAAATTCTGCACGAAGATACAATGAGAGAATTACACAAGATTTTTTTAGAACTTTTAAACACAAAGCTCTGTGTGAAATGTCATACTCCTTTTTTTTCTATAAAGTTTATATAACATTTTGTGCGCGTTTATATAAGGAACAGAGATACTTAAATGCCCAAATTCCAATGGTTACTGCACGCATCGCAATGCAATATATGTTGTTTATACAAATATAATTTTCGCACATAAGGGACGAACAAGCAGATGAGTATACCCGTTTGCGAAAAAGTTTGGAGCAATCAAATAAAAATTGCCGAATATTGTCGTTCAAATTGAGGAAAGTAGAACGCAAATCCGAAGAATTAGAAAGCGAACGAGTTGCTTTAGAAAAGAAATATGAAGAGGTAAATATGATATAAAAAAAACTAAAGAAATATTATTGTTCTAAATTTTGAAATTAAAAGAACAAATACATAATATATCGAATAATTTCTCGTGTATTCTATATCTAATTATATTCACTAGAATTTCTGACTATAAATTTCTATTATATGTAAAAACCTTTCTATTTATCTTAGATGAAGAAAACAGAAGAAATTCTGCAAAAAGTAAGTAACGCATTCCAGGAGAGAACACAAAAGAAGGCAACAGACTCCACAACAAGGATACAACTTAAAAAAATGGTTGATGAAATGGAGAAGGAAATAGGTTTGTTGATTATTGTACTTTTACATAAATTTCGCGAAAATTAAAAATATTTGATTTCAATATTTCGAACGATTACTAACATTTTAGAAGACATGCTGAATATCTTCTCCAACATTAAAAATGGACATAATGTGGATATATCGGATCTGAAGCCGAAAGATAATAATTTAAAGTATGATAAACTTCTAAAGGAACATGAACTACTTAAAGAAAAACTCGAGTCTACTATAAAAGAATTGACTAGTGAAAAAGAGAAGAAAAAAGTTCAATCAAATGTAAAAGTAGAAGATACTAAAAATGTGGAGTTACAAAATGGTAGAGCTATCAATTTAAAATTGTATATAAAATGATTAAACGTGTCTAATTTCTAAATTTTATTACAGTGAAAAAAAAGTTGGAAGAAGCAGTCACTTTACGGGAAACTGAAAGAAAAGCATGGGACAAAGAGAAATTAGCGCTTTCGGAAGAGAAAGAGAAATTGAAGTCGAAACTCTTGTCGCTATCAGCCGAGAAATTAAAAATTTATAATGAGGTTGTACAACTAAAAAAAGATTTCGGTAAAGCATAAATTGTATATTTGTAGTCTTCTATAAATATTCTATAAATATTTATTTTTATGCACTCTTTATATATGAATATTTATTTATGTACTACATATACGTATACGTATATTTATACGTACGTTTACGTATATGCATATATATGTATATATATGTAAGTACAAATTGTACATAATACGATTTTTTAAATATAGAAACTGCTAAGTCATCGGAAAAAGATACTGCGAAGATGGAAGAAATAATAAATGAACTAAAAGAAAAGCTATCACAAGAGCAAGAAAAGTGTAAACGATTACAAGATGATTTGTCATCGTACACCGAAAGAGAATCGAAAATGTCGCAATCCATAACGTCTGTAAGTATATTTTTTTTTTTTTTTGAGAGTACATCTAATATTGTTTATAGCATATTTAAATTTTTAATTATTTTTCCCTAAAATAAAATATTTGCTGTTATATATATGTCGACAATTTATGTTTTATTTTTTCCGATAAAAATAGGTGGAACAAACAAAGACTAAACTTGATGCTGAGGTGAAACGTTTGAAAAAGGAATTAGAGAGTTCAAAATCTAGCACATCGAAAAAAATCACGGATCTAAATGTAGAGATTGCGGCGCTTAAACAGGAGAGTGAAAAATTAACATCACAACTTAACAATGAAAAAGAGGCGAAAGAAAACGAAATAGCGACACTGAAGAAAAAGATAGCTTCCTTAGAAAAAGCTGGGCAAAATACAAAGCGTATGAATGAGCTGAAGGAGACTTACAATGAGAAAATTTTGAGTACAGTATCAAAAAATATTATATATAAAATATTTTTTAATCTGCATTATCTTTATTTTTCTACTTCTAAATCGGTTTTTTTATTTATCGCATGGAGATAACGTGATAAAATTTCCAGATCTCGAGAATGATATTAAAAAGCAACAACAAGATCAAGAGACTCTCACTAATAAATATCAAGAGCTTATGAACTCAAAGCTACAACTTGAAAGAGAAAATGAATCTTTGAATAGGTAAACAGCAAAATTCGACACTAACTGTGTGAGGAGTAAGAATTCACTGTCAACAATATTAAATGCTTCGTGTAACTTTCTTCAATTAATCTTACGTTTTATTATAGCAAATCTTCAGAGTATAAAACAGATTTAAAAAATATTCAAACAGAACTTGACGAATTGCGGAACTCGATGAAAACGAAAGAAAACGATTGGCGATTAGAGAAATCTGTTCTTGAGGTATATAAATTTTATTATTGATTTGTTATTGTAAATTTTATTAAAAATCTCTGTCGAAAATATCATTTCTTTGGTTCATCATTTTAGAGCCAAATCCGTGAGAATCAATTACCAAATAAACTTATTGTGGCAGAATTAAATGATGAAATTAATACATTAAAGAAAGAAAGTTCTACTTTATTAGAACGATTGGAAGATATGAAAAAAGTGGTAGGTATATATTATTTAATCTTTCGTTATTTGGAAAATATATGAAATCTCCGTCTATCTTTTTGTTTTTTATATATACATATTTTTCCTTTTTGATAATTTATTTTAAAACATAATTTTCTAATTTGGATAGAATGACGACTTATCTACAAAATTGAAAGATTACGAAGCAGTATCAAAAATTCATCAAGTATTAACACCCGATACTACGGCATTGGAATCCGAAATCCGAAAATTAAAGAATGCCTTGACAAATACAGAGAAAGCCAAGAAGGCAGACTTGGCGCAATGCAAAATGCGCTACGAGCACAGGATTACGGCGATCAATGATGAGATACAGGCAATCCAGAATCAATTATCACGATACAAACGCGAACGTGATACTTACAAACACATGTTGGAAGGCGCGCAAAAAACTATAGGAGAGTTAAAGTCCGCGAGAGGCAGACTATCAAATGCATCCTCTGGAAAGTCGGACGAGGTTAATGCAATCATCAAGATACTCTTACGTCTTATGCCTATTTAAAATATTTTAATATTGACATTTATGCTTTTATTTTAATATTGACATTTAAGTCTCAAGACTAGAATATTGACATTTCTTTTCGCGTAAAATTATTTTCCGATATTAGCATCATAATATCAATTATTATCGATTTAATTATTAAATTTATAAAATAAAATATTATATATGTATATCTATATATCTATATATATTTCTCTGTTTTTTAAGGATGAAGAATCATCAAAAGCTAATGTGTTAGTGTTAGAAAAACAAATAAGTTGCATGGAAGATGAACTTTCTGAAACAAGACTAGAAGCTTCCAGGCTAAAGGCCGAATTGGTTTCGGAAAAATCTGGTAGTCACGTTAAAGTCTCCGAATTACAATCTCGAATTAACGAGGTAATTAGAAATTCAATAGATGCAAATGATACATCTGCAAATCTGTTTATATTCATACACATTTCTTGCAATTGCAGTTGGAGGAGGAGCGATTGCTTACAAGCGGACGTTCGAAAATTCCAGGATTGAAAGTGCGGATGGAATTAGCTTGGCAAAAAGAAAGAGAAGAACATCAAAGATTGCTACAGGAAACGGCAACGTTAGCGCGAGATTTGCGTCAAACGTTGTTTGAAGTAATGATTAGCAATTTAATGCATATATAAAATAACACATACAATAGCTTTTTTTACAATTCATGCTAATTTACAGATAGAGAGAGAACGCAATAAAGAGCGGCTAGAAAATAAAAGGAGACAAGATCAATTAAAGAAAGTATTCGACGAAGAAAAGGAAGAAAATAAGAAAAAATTATTAGAGGTATAATTTGGATAATATATTCATAATTTAAGTTTTGTACGTTTGCACAAGTATATATATATTTTTAAATATAATTATTAAAAAATAAAAAATGCTTACTTTCTTAATTGCGATTGCAATGATTTGCAATTCTAGCTGCAATGCGATCTACTTGAACTGAGAGACGCGCATGCAAAATTAAGAACGAGTAATGAGAAGATGAGACGTGAGAAAGAACGGCATGAAAAGGAAAGGCATGAACTCAAAGAAGTGATATTGAACAAATGCAAATTGGAGCAAACCGAGTTACGCAACATCAATATTCTTATGCAACAAGTTCAGGATTTGCTACAGTTGTTCCCGGAATTAAATACTATAACAGAGAATGGAATGTCCGACACATTTACACCAACTCCGCCAAGACGATTAAAGGTATAAAATACAAACATTCGTATAATTGATAGTAATGTATTGTAATCAATACAAATAATATCTAAAATTATATAAATGCTTTAAAATCCTATCACACTTTTCAGGGACCAAAATCAAGAGAGTCGTCACCAATGTTAGAAACAAAGAGCGACATAAAAGGTATTTATCAATAATATAAATAATTTGCATGAGTTTTGATGTTTACATGTCACTGTTCATTATTTTAAATTATATATATATGTATATGTTTGCAGTTGAAACTTCAATATTAGGAGAAAGAACAGAGAAATTAGAATACACTATTAAAAAATTAATGGGTGTAGCAAAGGAACTTAAAGAATCGAAGAAAATGACAGATGAAGCAAATGCAACGCGATTGAAAAAAATGGGAAAGAGGTAAGTCTCACAATGGTTTTACATCAAATTTCTCTTGCCAATTATTGAAAAAAATATTATATCGTTGCCATGATTTATAGATCAACGTCAGTAGAGAGTGACCCAGGAAAAGGAGTGGTATTAAATCGCAGTAAACCACGTTTGAAGAGAAAGAGTCTCTCCTTGGAACAAACGTCTGGTCGTCAAGAGGTGAGGCTGTTTCATAGACCAGAAAAATCTGTCACGAAATATATAGTAATTCTTTTTTATGAAATAAATGCGTTGCATATAAAATATAATTTTTATAACTCTGTTAGCTATGTAATTTTTTATAATTATATACTGAGCAAAATTTCAATTTTAAATATGATTTTATGTTTAAATAAATTTCTGTATAAGCAAAATTCTCGACAAAATTAAAATTTAATATATGCTAATATATTTTATACTAACTGTTTTTTGCATTCAAAAAATTTAGTCTCCAGCTATTTGGGGCAACGATAGCAATTTGTCGAGTATGCAATCGTTGGAGGGATCGGAAATTGAGTCTCGCGGAGCTAGTTTACAAAGAGACTCCAGTGTAGACAGGTATTGAATATTGCATATATAATATTATTATTATGTTATATATTTTTCGGTTCGTGCTTAATAAAATAGCAAGTATTCTTTAAATAAAATTTAATATGATATTGTTATGTTTAGTCGTCTTTCCGGAGGATCGACAAAGAGCGAAATGTTAGATCGAGATAAAAAATATGGTAAAGGAATAATCCGGAAATTAACACACAAATTAACTAAATCATCCAGTGTAGATGACCCGCACATGACCGACTATTCACTTCAGGCAAGAGGAGATTTAAATATTCGAAATTATTTTTACTCGAATAAAACATTATATATATTTATTAAAATAATCGAATACTTGACAGACATCTGGTTCTGAAACCAGCCTCAATGAAAGCAGTAAGATGGAAAAGAAGAATTTAAAGAAGAAATTAACAGCCATGTTTAAAAGAGGTTCAAGAAGCAGTAGGTACGTAAAAAAATTTTTTTAAAAGGATTAAGTTAATGTTTGATAAATGTGCAAAATATATACAAACTCACCATTAATGAAGATAATCATGGTGCGATGTTTTTTCAGTGTAGAGACAAAAACTAGATCCGGTACTTCCAGCAGACCTGCTTCTAGGAATTCCATGACATCAGATTAATAATCCCGTGTGTGTACGATCTTATTAAAGAACTTGATACTTTCATTAAACACTCACGATTACTGTTTCCTGAAATTATAACATTACATTCGACAATATAATAAAAAGGCAAACTGCTCAAATTTGTATTTAGATATATGTACTCAGAAAGAGTACAGTTGGCATCAGGTATGTGCAAGAAATTACATAATATGTTTAGGTCACGTATTTAGATACGATGAGTACCAGATGGCATATATAAGGAGTCTATGTTTAGATTTTCGCAAAAAATAGGAAAATACATATGTATTAGGAGAAAGAACAGAGAAATTAGAATACACTATTAAAAAATTAATGGATGTAACAAAGGAACTTAAAGAATCGAAGAAAATGACAGATAAAGCAAATGCAACGCGATTGTATATAAGAATGTGTATTCTTGATTCTTGTATATCGAATGCACATTCGATTTATTTAATCCTTAAATCACGATGTCATCTGTGTCGTCTTAATATCCAATATAAGTAGTCTCTATTTAATTCATTCACTTTATGTAATTTTTTCACAGAAAAAAAAACCAAATACGATTCGTGCATGATCATAAGTGAATTAAAACATATGTACATATCCTTATACGTGTAATACGTAATCATTTGGAAAATATATATAAAGTTACTGTATTCAGGAGTCATTGATTTATTTTAAAACTATTTGCACCAGAAAGTTAAATTTTCACTATCAATCTTTATCACCAAAACGAACAATTAACATCGTATTTCGTGCAAGCAGCATTTAAGAACAGAGTATATATTCATTTATACAAATACAGTAAACATATATAATAAAATCTTTGTTACCTTTGGCATTTCAAAATTATCTAATGCTTTTAAATCTTATTCATATGAGACATATGAATCAAAATATCCAAAAAATTATTCAAATATTTATAAATTAGATATTATAGATTATATATTCTCATTGTCAGTCTATATTACAGATGTGTGATGTGTATACCGTATATATAGATATATAGAAAATAAGTACATGTTTAATGAAATAAAAAATAATACGGTTCTAATAAAGCGTGAAGTTCTAGAATATAATGTACATTATGTACAATTGTTACTGCACAAATATTTAATACATAAATCGTTTCACATTATGGAACTTGGGATTACCAAGGGATAGAAATAAACAGAGATTAATGTTTCGAACGTTTCTCTTTTTTAGATTTTTTCTTGTGCTTGGGGCTCTTATGCTGTTTATGCTTGTGCTTTTTCTTTTCTTTCTTTACTTTTTTCACCTTGTCCCGCTCTACCCACTTTCCGCCGAGTATTGAATTTTCTGCAGTCTTTGACACCACGACACTGCGAAATACCGGTCTTAGAGATTGATTCGCGCTATCGGTCTCTGTTGTCGCGGTACTCTCCTGTTTTAACAATCTTTGTGGCAAAATCGGACCATACATATCCGATGGAATCGCGATAACTTCCTCATCATCGTTTTTTATATCGTTTCCATCCGCGAGATTGTTTCGCGTTTCATCAGTCCTCGATAAACTGCTCTCCGGAATCTTGGAAGCTGTACTTTCGTCATTAACGCGTTTCGGTTGTGTCACCAAGTTATCAAGATCCAATTTTGCAAAGATACCACGCGGCGGCGATGTATTTCGCTGGGTGTTTATCTCCTTCGGATCTTTCCCGATTAGGATCGACTTGACCGTCTCGTTGTCAACGTTCTCTTCCGACTCACTGTCTTCAGAATCCTCGCTGCTGCTAAGGAAAATTGCCTTGAAGAGGTCCTTCTTTTCATTTGATTGATCTTTAACTGTAGTTACTGATCCCGTATCAATTTCTTGCTTATTTTCTACTTCTTGAATTGTTTCATCCTTTTTTGAATTATCGCTCGCATCTTGTTTAGCATTTTCCGACGTTGAGGAAAGAATATTTTGAATACCCTTACCGAAAACTTTCTCGTAGGAAGCCTCGAAGATTCTGAACTTTTCGGAAACGGGCTCTGAAGATTGATAATCATTCGATGAAATATTATCCGTGTCGGAAATCGCTCCCTTTGTATTCTCTTCCGTTTTCTTTGACAGTCCAGGAATTTCCTCCACTTCTGTTCTCTGCTGCTCTGTAGCTTTCGTGAACTTGGATGAACTACACCAATCTAAGGAATCAAAGACGGAGAATCTCGCCGTTTTTCGATCTGTTACAACCAAAGAGCAGCCGACTTTCGGTTCGGGAATATTGAATCTCTTGCAAACGATACTTGCAGGCTTCCATTCGCTTCGCTCTCGCGTCAGTTTGCCAAACATCTTCAGTCTTACTGCTTCCTTTACATCCTTCTCCGGATCCGTCTTGTCTATCGTGTGATCAGAGCTATGTATAAATTTATCCGCCATATAATTATTTGATTGCTCCAACTTAGCCGCCTGCTCGAATTCCGTACGTTCTTGTTCTCTCTCCCATTCGGTCATGGAAAGTGGTTGGATAGTCTCGAATTTATTCATCTCATTGTTTTTAAGAAAAATAAGATATTGCTCAAATCGTCTCTGTTTGTCCGGATCGGACGAAAACAATTTTGCACTTTTCTCGCTCTTGCTTGAAGAATCACGTTCTGTGCTCGAACATGTGGATGCAGAAACAGATTCTTTGAACTCTTCTAATGTTTTCAAGCTACCTGACTCATCTTGTGTACCGACAACATCACCTTTGACAAAGTTTTGACTAGTTAATTTATCCAGCCACGAGTTGCCCGTCGTTGTCTGTTCATTCTCCAATTTCTTTCTTTCCTCCGTTTGCTGTTTACCATGTAAATTCAAGGTTTTGGTAATGATATTCGAGGCGACGGATGGCGGCTTTTTTGAATGTTCATCGGGATCTTCTAAAATCCGCGCCCTATCTATGGCATTTAATGGTTCTCTGCGTTTGCCATTTTCCACCGGAATTGCAATCGGAGGATAAAATCTACTTTTCCTAATAGCATGTACTGGTGCAAAATTCTTTGGTAATTCTGGCGGTTTGAAGATCTTCTTGTTCGCTAATTTTTCCTTCGCACGAACGAAATCGTCCAAGCAATCGGTTTGTGAGCTAGACGGAGCGTCTTGTGACCATCTTGTTTTCTTCTTATGCTCGGGATCTAGGGCAAAGTCGTAACGCGACATATCTTCTCTTTCGTATATATCTTCATCGTCGGCTTCGAATGCACCAACTCCAAATGCTTGGCCATGAATCGACAGTTTCTTGTTTTTATCTTGAACGCAAAACGCTGGAGTATCAAATAAATTGATGTGACCAGAGAGAATTTTCCGCCTATCTAGACCTGAATAGCCAATGCCAAAATAATTGTCCTTTGGTTTGCATCTGAATGGCTCATAATCATCAGGAGCAAAAGTAATATTAGTGGAATTATCATCAGAATCCTCTGAATTGCTTCCTGCCATATCAGAATTTTCCTGCACTAATTTTATTTTTTCATTACGTTGCTTTATCTTTTGCTTTTCTTTTTTTGTGAGTCTAGAGCCTATACCTTGACCAGGTTTCCAGCCCATCTTTTTGAGCAGAACAATACCCACTGTTTCTCTATAATTACAATATCAAAGGTTAATATGATTTTAAAACTCTAAAATTCTAAATATATATACATAAATATAAATTAAATACATTAGTAAATAATCGCTGCATTGCTAATTCTCTGTCAATTAAAAATTACAAATAATTACAGACTTAATAATAACAGAGATCAAATTGTATCATTATTAATTTTTGCAAATACTTACTTGACAGGTTTTAAAAGTTCCTTTAAAACAGGAGCACCAGGAATGGGTCCATTATTATCCTGATTTATCCTCTCTCTTTTCTTTCCCTTCTGTCCATGACCGGCATAATCGCTAGTAGCTTGAATTCCTTTAGGAGCAATTCCAAAAAGACTCGTGTCCTCTTCATCCATAAAATCTTCTGGTCTCTGAATAACACTTTCCGCTTTACTACCCCTTGAAGATTTAAACTGCTGAGGTCTCCAGCCATCGCGAGTGCCGACTGTATTAAAATATCCTGCTGAAAAACCACCTGTAAATGCTCCATGGAATCTGCGTCTACCTTGAGCATCATAAGCGTATTGATCTTCGATTGTAACGGGCTTTTTTCGTGGGATATTCTCTGCAAAATTAAAAAACTTCGATTATATAATAAATGAATTAGAGACAATACAAACTTACACGATTAATTTACATCATACAAACCTTCGTCTAAAGGATCTAGAGCGACACCAAAAGTCGCGTAATTTTCTTCCTCCGAGTCACTCATTTTCAAATAATCCTCGGAATGTATATTTTTTTCTTTTATTTGGAATAATTACACATCTCCCAATCAAATCACTCGCAAAATCTTGCTGAGGCGTATCTGAGAGGTTAGAAAAGAGAAGTAAGGAGTAATACAAGTCACAGGTGTACAAAAATTTAGCAGACGGTTTTCGACGTTCGACGTAATCTGCGTTCATTCGTCGCAAAAATAAGTCACGACCAATCAACGATGCGCTGCGCGAAAGAGCGCGAGAGAACGAACCATTAGATTTTTATATCTCCGTTTTTCCTTTAAATATGTGCAACAATATTTACGTTTTAAATCAATTATGTAACGCGTTTCTTCATCGATCAAAAAATACGTCACCCCTGGTTCCCAGCTGTTCCATATATATATATATATATATATATATGCAGATATATCTATGCCACGTATAACCTCTCTACTTCTCTCCCTTATATATTATGTATCGTATCTCGGAAATTGCAGCGAGGTTAGTGTGTCACACTAAGGTGCGTGAAACCACTACGCGAAATTCGAACATGCTACGAGAACAATCATAACATGCACGCACACAGTTTATTTAAGTATACAGTAATTAGTAACATTTGTAATATCTGATTTTCAACTGACGTTATGGCGATGCTTCATTCTTTTCGTTCGACGCGAAGCAGATTTCCAATAGCCGATGGTAAGCCGAATTTCAGTAACTCGTACCTTGCGAAACAGTTTGATCCCGTTGTCAGCTGATCTGCCATCGATTTCCTTCCTCTTTCTTTGTGTTTATTTATTTATTTTTTACAAATAAGTTTTCAACGGCTGTCACAACCGTTCGCCGACCTCATCGCGTCGCTAAATTCTGTTAAAAAAATATTCTTTTACGTGGAGATTAAAAAGCTCTCCCTCAGTCTTGTGCACGAGAAATTCTGTACACACCTTGTGATGTAGGAATTTTATAACCTCGCAGAAGCAGCTTTGCAAGCCACGCGGTATTTCGTCATGTCCAGTGTTTCCAAAGTGTCTGGAGGATGAAGAGATAAATGACCTTTACTACTATTTAACCGTAGAGAACATTAATATTAATTAAGAAGTTAGTCTTTGGAGAATAAGAAGACGGTACATGAACATATATAGAGAAAAGTATCTTCTTGGAGAATAATTTTTTACACATTTGCATGTGGATCATCTAAGTTTTAAATAATCAGAAAAATGTCGGAAATATTTGTCAAGCGATTTACCGATCTCCTGAAGGATCAGCCCAGGGAAGCTCTGGAACTTTTCACATCGCAGAGCAATGAAGTGATTGAGGACGCAGTAAGCGAGATTGTGCCTATTGCCGCTTCCTATCTCACTGAATCTTACTCGCAATCCAAGGAAGAACTATTTGAATGCTGCAAGAGTGTGTTAAACATCATAGCGGAGAGATGTAATCCCATGGAAACTGTACTGGAGTTCCTAGAACAGATAGAGTGTCTGAATGATATCAAATTCTGTGCCATTATGGAACCACTAGGTATATGTATGATGAAGATGCAAGACAAGAGCAAGGGCATCGAGTGGTGCATCAATACCATCAAGTCATACATCGAGGATTTAGCATCGTTAGACGATGTTGATAGTAACAGAATCGTGAATGTATATAAAGGAATCATATTATTTTTGGAACCATTGGTACAAGAAGCGGTGAAGATTAACTCTCAACTCGAAGAAGGATCATTGCTTGGGGATTATCTTTTGAGCTTCCTTATTTCTCTGTGCGACAAGCTATCCTATTACTGGAACAAAAATATTGCTGAAGAAGGGATATGTGAAGAATTCTTAGAAGAAATAATAACACTATCCTTTTCTCTAACTGGAGACATATTATATTTCTTGAACATTGTTAGCAAACGTCATAGAAATTTTATCTGCAAGAAGTTACAAGAAGGACATTTATACACTGAAAATTATAAACGTAGTATACTTTTTGAATCGAGTGATAACATATCAGATTTAGCCTATGCTAATTTTTATTTCTACATAATTACTAAAAAAGATTATTGGAAAAATGTACCACAAATTTATAGTCCTTATTACATATTTGAAATGTGCACATATTTTTTTGAAATTTTGCTTTGCGAAAAGGGAGACATTGTAATCTCGAATGGATTATTTTTTATGAATACTGTTATAAAGCGCGTTTTACCTCGGTCTGTAGATTCTAAAGTGTTGGAACTACAAATATATTTAGACTTATTTAAATCACTTATTAAAATAATGATTTACTGTAGTAATGATACGGAACGAAAAAAGGCGTTAGACATTTTTCAAAAGTATATCGAAATATTTAATATAGAAGCTAGATATTCTGTTATCTTGTATTTGTATGAAATTAGCGATCATTCTGGTTTACTGAGCTTGATCACTAGTATACTTAAATCTTCTATCATCGATTGTCTTAACTCGACTCCACGAAATCCTCAGTTTCTTGGAAAGAATCTACAATTGATATTAAAAAAAATTTGTAATTTGTCACATGGAAGTTCGTCGGATTTAGTTGAGATATCAGATGAAGTTATTACTACATTGAACCTGTTGAGATTCTTGTTTATCAGAGATAAGTACAATGAAACAGGTATTTGGAATATTACAAATATGCTAAAAAATAATTATTTGAATCCATTGAGAGAAGGAATACATTTATGTAAAACGCATTGGGAAGTAAAGATAAAGGATTTAGAGCAACAAAAAAATAATTATAATAAAATACACGATTATAAGGAGATGAAGAAGGCCCACGCAGAAGTTTCGTTGACTGTAGGTGGTGAAGAATTACCAGTGATGCCACTTCCAGAAACAATTTCTTTCTGTTATCAAGCGATAAATGGTCTAGATGTAATGCAAAGTATTCTTATCCGGGTTAATGAATGTATAGATGCTGACAAAGAATTCCCATTAATACAGTAGCTGAGTAAAATTTTGAAACCATAAGATTGTCATAAGCTATAATTGTATACTGTTAATTTTATTGGTACATGTCATGTATAATTAAACATAAATTTTTTTACTATCATGTTATGTAAATTATCTAAGATTTAATAAAATATTTCTTTTTAATACACATGTTCCATTGATTAATATCTCAATATCTGTTATCTGGATTGAAATAAACATTTATGTCCTATATATATATATATATATATATATATATATATATATATATATATATATAATATCTAATAATTTTAAAATGATTTTAAAGATAGATATATTGATTTTATTAGGTTTCAGACGTTTATGGACTTCTAGGGTTTTGCTGGTCGATCAACCTGAAAATGATAGTAATAGGAAGACAGAATCACAACAATCTACTCACGAGGAAAGTGATGAGGAATATGATACAAATATTAAAATAAAAATACTTGGCGCTTCTCTGAAATTTGTTCCTGATATGGGATGGAGCAAACAGGCTATCAGTGCTGGTAATTCAATCCACGATTTTCTTTATGTGCTATTTTGAAAAATTAGTTTATTTGCAATTTTGATTAAATTATAAATTAGATTAAAGCTTTTTAGACAAAAAATACTTGTTCAAAAATAAAAATTTCTAAAATATATATTAGAAATGTATTTCATATTTTATATTCAATAATAAGTTCGTATAATGTTTTGCCATTATTGATGTATACACGATTTTAACATAAAAATGAAATAAAATAATATAATTGAAAATTATGGTGTCGAAGGTGCCGAATCGATAGGATATCCAGGTGTAATACACGGACTTTTTCCAAATGGTGGTGCGGCTTTAGTCCAATACTTTTATTCTGAATGCAATCGCAAATTAAATCAGATGCTAGAAAAAGAAACATTAGCTATTAAAGCGGATCCTTCGAGTCCACGGAAGACGCCAGAGCAGCAAGTTCGAGATGCTGTAGAGACACGGTTGAGAATGGTGATTCCCTATAAAAAGACCTGGCCACAGGCATTGGCTATTATGACTCTACCACCAAATGTACCGACTGCTTTAGCGAATTTATTAACTTTAGTTGATGATATCTGCTACTATGCCGGCGACAGATCCGTCGATGTAAGTCGTACCATTAATATTTATCTATATAGGACAAATAAGATAGTGTTCAGATGTTTAGGACAAATAAAATATTGTTCAGATGTGCTGTTTAAACACGGCACATTACTTTGGCTAGATCCACTGGTATACTAGAAGAATGATATTGGCAACCATTTACAAGGCCACTGAGTTGTATATGCTGCAAGATATCAGTGAAGACCATAAAGAAACCTGGTTATTCTTAGAGAGACGAATAAAAGACGCTTTACAAGTATATGCGACGCTTTCGAGTACTGCTAAGCCGGATGAAGCTTTAAGTTGTGCCACAGAGACGGCGACTGCTGTTTTTGTAACGGTAAATATATTTCTTATATTTATTTCCTATATTACATTAAAAGTTAAATTTTAAAAAAAGTTTATTCCTAAAACATTAAAAAACTTGTAGTTAAAATTGAACAATCTTCGATATAGATCCTTCATTTTATATAGTATACTTTGCTGTTTTAGGCGCGCAATATACTTGGATTGAGTTGGAATAAATAAAAGTTAGAGAAAGATTTAGGAAGAAGAGAGAACATTGTAGATATTTACAATTAAAATTTCTTAATAAAATTAAAAGAAGTTTTTCTATTTAAGTACCTGGTCTCACGCGTGAAAAATGAATATGAAGAATATTACCTAGTAGCTATAATAGCTATAATTTATTTTACACTGTAATATATTTTAACGAAACCTGTACAATAAAATATATTGTAAATCTAAATTATTTGCATGCAAAATATAAAGATATAAATCGTCGATTATGTAGAGCTACCAACATTTAACAATAGATTAAAAAATATTTTCGTTTACCCTGCAGTATTGTCATAATTAAGTATAATTGTCCAGCATTGATTTCACGCTCTCGACAGTTTTTACGTTCTGTCATTATGAGAAATATCAGGAAGACAAAATTTACTTACAATAATTTATGAATTCATAATAACTGCAAATTAATTACATAACAATACAAAAGTATTCTTTTTTAGATTGTAGGTATGCAAAACTTTGAAAAATTTTTTTGACTATTTATAAATTATTATTATTCAATTACTTATAAATTATATATCTTCACACATCTTTCAATGAATAAAAATTATCAACTGAGGAAAAGCATTTTTAATATAATATATATTAAATGTAGATAACAAAAATTTATCAGATATATGTATGTGTATATATATATATATATACAATGTGTGTTTGTGTGTATGCATACACACATGCACATACACATTTAAAGATCATTATGCATGCTGCCAATTCATCATAAAAATCTATTTCATTCTATAGAGTTCCTCTTTTAATTACATGTCTTAGAAAGTTTTTTTAATAAAAATAATTTTACTTTATTAATCTCCTTTTGATATTTATCTTTTTGTCTGTTAGATATCAATAGTGTGCTTCTTGAATATATCCTTTGATGGTTTTTGGCAAAGGCAACTTGTGTATATTATCTAATCTAGTATTTTGGCGGATAACAAAACGACAAAGATACTGTAAACTTCTTACTTGTGTGAACCTGCTAACTGGTTTTGTTAATCTAACCGGAAATGATGGATATCCTGGATATTTCGGCCTCGAATAACAAATGACAGCAGATTGACTGAAATTCATGGAGTGATTTATCAAAGCAGCCACCGAAGTAAAGCCTTCACTCTCTGTACATTGATTGCACAGAGAAAATAGACCGCCACTGTGTTCCATGCGTGCGTGCAGCATCTTCCCAGATGATTTAAAACTAAGTGTCAAAACGTACCTATAGATAATCATTTAAAAAATTTTAATTATATATCTCATATTTATAATCATATTTATATTTAGCATAAAACACTACAAAATTAAATGATCTAATATATGTATACATGTACCTATCATCTGATGAGTCTCGAACCAAGAATGCACCATCTGGTTCAGATATGAGCTTGGCATCAGCTTCATCTCCTGATATAGGACCCCAATACCATCCATATTTACTTAAATTGAGCAATTCTTTTGCGAGATTTGCTTTAACTTTATGCTCATTACTTATTGTTTCATTCATATTATAAGGAACTTTTGCTATTGCACTAGGAACTGCCATTACAGCATCAGAACAACTGGGTGTTGCATAAACAGTTGCAATGTCATGTGTCAATTCATCTCGTTGCCTGGTAGGAACTATAAGAAGATTCATGCCAGTTGCACCATAACATTGTGTATTAATATTTTCTATATTTTCTTCAGTACTATGACAGAAATTTTCAAGTACATTGCCCAATCTACTTCCATTCAATGATTGTCTGATCGATGAGATTCCTTGCTCGCTATTTAAAAGGTCTTGCTCTTGGCAAGAGTTAAAAGGTTCAATGACAGATCTAACGTTGTTCTGATTTGAAGAAGGGTTTACCACATCTGTCTCTTTGCTCTGAAAAAAATGAAACAATTATTTTACAAATATGGTATTGTATTGTAAAAGGGCGAATGTATATAAAAAAAAAAAGATTCTAGTGAATGAAAGAAAACAGCAGGAAATAATATGCGTTTACCTTGCGTTTGGATTTGCATAGATTTTTTATTTGCAAGTGTTTCTTGATATTCCTAAAAAAATCGAACGACACCTTGCTATTCGAAGGATTTTTTAACTTATGCTCCATGTCCTTGGTGTCGTTCGCCGTGTCGTTCCTCTTGCATTCCTGTCGCGAATTGTTCTCGCGTCGCCAAATAAAGGCTGCGAATCTCCCGCTTGTTCCATGCCTCGACTTCTGTCGCGCGCCTAATCGTTCCGTAGGATTACTTACGACAGATTCCGAATCGGCATTCGGATTTATCATGTTCGAGTGTGGTATGCGAACTCTCCGAGCGAATTATTATTCTTACTAATACGCCTGTCGATTTCGTCGCGACACCTTGCACATGCCATCTATTTTTCGCAGCCCGTTTATGCGTATAAATACAACGGTACTTTCGCGTTCCCGGGATTATCTCAAAAAATCGTAAGTGCATATACTATCAAAAATTTATCTGAACACCAATAGAAGATCGGAAGATGTCGCCCTTTTTGTTAATATCACTAGTACTCCCAACACCCAACAGAGTACACTTCGATCGACAACGTGCTAGATTTTTGAACGAAGACCGACAAGGATAAAACTTTGAAATATTTTGATGAAATTTTTATTATAATGATATTAAAAAAGAAATAAAAGCCTTTGTATAACAAATTAAAGAGCAATAGAATTCAAGTTGTAAAAGGAATCTTATAATAATATTAATAATATTAATTATAATTAATTTATTTACAATATTAATAAGAGACGAAATTAAAAAAAGGAAACAGATTTGTCAGAAAATAGATTAATAATTTAAATATGCTAACTTTAATAATTAAAATGTGCAAGATACTTAAATGTATATTTATCTCAATTCTTTTATAAAAATTGTATATATATATATATATATATATATATATATATATATATATATATATATAATTTTCATTAATTATTTTAGCAATAATGTTTAACAAAGCACACAATATATTGAATTATATATTTTTTATATAAAAGTGATGCAAATATAATAAAAGAAAATCAATCATTTGCTTTCAATTAATGCATGAATTGTAGATTTTTAATTTGAGTATAGAGTATATAGAGCTTTAATTTAACAGACACATTTAAATTTCTTTCCTTTTCTAATTTTTTAAAATATTTTAACGACGTTAATTAAAAAGAGTACGTGAAATTCATTCACACGTCATAAAGAATAAAAAATATATATTATATTTTAAAATCCATCTTGTTAACTATTATTCTGTTTAACGATTTGATAATTTAATGCTTTAATTACTTTTATATTAATTTTTTGTAATGATTACATTGTATGATTTTCAAAAAATAATATTTTGGATATATTAGAGCTCATCAATAATATGTGTATAATTATTTGACATGCACTACTTACTTCTGAACCGTTGTTCTTTAACGTACATGTTTATCAAATCTACTATTTGTTGTATTCGAGAGATTTGAAATAGGTTTCGATCATATTAATTCATATAAAATATTACTTGAAATGTCCTAGAAAGCTCATATACATATATATATATGTAGATAAAAATTAAACGGTAATAAAAATTATAGGAACGCTTTTACTGTTACAAGATTGAAGCGTCAGTAATAATAGAACATAAAAAGATCAAAGAAATTTAATTTTTAAAAATTAAAAAATTGTTTAAAAAAAATAGCCGGTTTTAACGCAATCTGTATGCGCTGCGTTTGAATGTTCATGAATGTCCAGGCTCAGGTAACACGCCAAATGTTATGCAACTGCTCGACACGATCGGAGTAGAAATGCGCTTTCTAATAGGTCTTCGTTATTTATAGGCGAGGAAGGAACGCCGCGATGTCAGGAACATCGTCGTCGGGATGCTTCTGTCAACGACGCCGTCAGCCTCAGATATAAATCAATCATCGATCACGTTCCGCGATTTCCTATCCGCGGTTTTAAATCACACGTACGCGAGAGTTCCCGCGCCTCGCGGAAACAATGACTTTCCCTTCAAGAGAGAAACACCGGATATTGTTATAAACATATAATAAGTAATATAGATGCGCGTGTATCGATCAAGCATTGCGCCAAAATTAGCAAATTTCGAAATATTCGATGGACCAATCAGGGCAAAGAATCTTCGATAGTGAAATGCACTTTATTATCGTGAAAATGATTTTATTCTAATTAAAGAGAGATAAACAGATTTTCTTGAAACATTGCTGCTTTCCTTTTCAAATTGAAGATTATAAAATTTATTTGATCGGGACAAAGAAACATTTTTAATGTATTCCTTTATTGTTAGTTAAATTTCAATTTTTTATCTGCACTCTTTCATATGTACGGGCTTTATGATTGACAGGACACGCGCGCAATCTATATACTTTCTATGTCTATGGATATTGCGCGACGTACTTCACTTCTATTCAATTGGTGGTAAAAGTGCCGCGGCATCAATCGACACGAAATTTCTGATTCACACGACAATATCAAGACTCGCAGGTACGTTCTTCGTCTTAATCACAAATTTATTTCGTTTCGTTACCTTCGAGAGATAAAAATACATAAATAAATAGCCTGGCTCTTTTGCAGGAAAAGTGAAGCAAAATTCAGTCGAGAGTGCAACTGAAAAAAAGTGAGTACACCTCCCATGAAACTTTCAACCTTATTCTTTATAATTAGAAAACGATTTGTTTCCGGGAAGAAAAGCAATTAATATATCTCGACGAAAAACAAAGATTTAACGCGTGCGCTCATATATGCATGTAGACATGAGAATATGAATATCTGTGCAAAAATTTCCAACCATTCATTGGTCCGAAGATCACGACATCTGTCGTGTCACATGTCAATTCGCACGGCGATTAATTTTGATGTTTGACAGCCTGACCGAGGTCGCGCGCACACCTGTTCGTCACGGTGCGAGACGTCTCACGTCTCTCGTTCGTCGCGCGAGTTTCAAGCAGCATCCTCCCGAAGGGATGCCGCGTTTTGTTTACCAACGCGATGCGCCGGCGAGTCGGGAGTGGCACGGAGAGGCGGACGGAAGCGGCGCGAACGCGGAGGTGGCGTGGCGGCGACGATGGTTAGTTAGTGGTGGCCGGTGCGGACCGGCCGCGTGTGGTAGGAGGCCGCCGCGATTCAATTTCAGTCGAAGCGCGTCAGGCAGACCGAAGCGAGCGAGCGGATCGAACGAGCGAGAGAGTCGAGATATAAGCGGGAGAATAAATCGGCCGGCGCCCCTGACTTCAATCTTCGGGGCGAAGAGACAGAGAAAGTGAAGAAAAAGAGAGAGAGAGAGAACATATAGACGTATGAGCGCCGCAGGTGCATGAACGTAGGTACACGCGGTCCGCTTCATCGGCTCCCTTCGCGCGCATCTTCCCCTCCTAAACTGGCGCTACGTTCAGTTTCGTTCAGGTTCAGCATCCAGTCGGTTTTTTACTTCACGCGCGCCTGGTTCGGTTTTGTGGTGCGCGTTAATATAATCGTGACGTCGTGAGATTTATTCGGGGCGATATTATATTCGCGAGTGCAATTGTCGGACTGCAAGTGCAAATATGGCGGTTACAAAACTTTGCGAGCTTTGACTTCATTTTCGAGATGGATCTCCGCGAGGATACGTCGTTTGCTTCAGTAATCACGTGGTAAACACGAACGGACACCGGTGTTTATATATGTGTACGTGTGTGTGCGTCGCCATGAAGGAGAATTCTCGATAGGAAGAAAAGAATTATTTATTCTCGTCTGTGATCTCGAGAATGGAATTCGGGAGCTACAAGGGCACCGGACCCCGCATTAGGGTTCGCCGGCGAGCGGAATTGGGCAGGCGGCTCACCAGGAGGTTGTCCCTCGTTGCGAAAATGCCGGCTGCAATTCTCAGTAGGGCGAACCAACCCGAACCAAGACCGGTCGAGATTACGGCGATTGCACCTGACAAGACGCAGCTCACGGTGAGTGCTCCGTTGATTTATAAACATGCATTTATTGCGTGACTGATTTTTCTCTCTGAATGTTAAATATCTTATTCGTGACCGAAAGGTTAGGAATTAAAATAATTTGTTCAATTTATATACATTCTAGACATTTATTAAAAATCTGTATAAATATTTTTTTAAATTCTCTAAATATCCCAGATAGCACCATGTCTAAAATGCATAAGACGTAGAGACTGACTTAAAAGTCTCTTTAAGACATCTTTAAAAAATCTTATGATATGATATCTTTTTTTTTTAAGTTTCTCGTACGAGAACGCACTTGACCGATTAGGTCTTATGGCTCCCAAAGACATCTCAAAACATCTTAAAGGTGTCTCACTTTAAGACATCTTTAAGAAATCTTATGATATGATATCCCAAAGACATGTTAAAACATCTTAAAGATGTCTTATGGGTGCATTTTGGATATATGGGTGCTATCTGAGATAAATATTTAAAAAATTTTAGAAGATATTTATCACAGATTTAATAAATGTATAGAATTTAAATATAGATTTAATAAAATTATATTGATCCTTTTAATATAGTCAATATTATCGAAAATTGTACGAATTTATTTTATTTCTGCATAAAAAATTTTTATTTTTGTACTGTATTTAAAAATTAGTAGAGATTAATCGCAACTTTAAATTATTCTGAATGTATAAATAAATTAAAAAATTAGCTTTTAATCACACTTTATTTGTAGCAATAAAAATGGCAATAATTGACATGCAAAATAAAAACAAAATGATATCTTGATTAGATAGCTGCAGTAATTAAAATATTTTGTCATAATGAAAAAATATCAGATAAAAGACATATAACAATACAATGTAAAAATATGATGTAGATCCAAGTATCAAATTACATAGATAGAGTTGATATTTATTATTATTTATTACTACTATTAAAATAAATAGCATAGAATATAAAGAATTATAAAATTAATAAAGAATCATAAGATTAATGATAATATTCTACTAGTACTAGTAATTTATTAATAAAATTTAATATTCCGAGAGCGATTTTATATATGCATATTGATTGCTATATAAATTCTAATTCCTTATAATATACAATTTAAAAACTATATCAAGATTAAAATATATTGTTATAAATATATTTATGTACTATAATTACTGTGAATTGTGAAAATGCTTCCGATATAATTATAAATAGAATAGATCGATAGAGTATCATTCTTATATAACTTTACACTTGATCGCTGTCGACATTGCAAAGAAATTTGAGTCATAAATTTGAGTCAGAAAGCTGCATCGGCTTGGAATTTGCACCGAATTCCAAGGTAGAAATTGAAATGAGCTATAGATTTTGGCGATTAATGTATACTGGTATGTTATACATTGAATATAAATGCACATTTGTGTAGCATTACAAAGGTAAGAGGTGTTACTTTTGATATCCAATATACAGAAAATTCTGCATATCTCGTTATTGTCTTGATATTTAATGCAGAAAATTCTGCATATCTCTTTATTGTCTTGTAATATCGTTTCCGAATTATCACTTTTATGATGAACATCTCATTAGTTACATATGTTTATAAAAAAAGTTTCATAAAAAAGATTATAAGTGCTAAGAATAATATAATCTTATTGCTATTTTAAATGAATTTTAGAAATTATTTTACATCATGAATAAAAAAATACTGGTGATGTACACGCAGGGTGTTCAAAAACAGTTCGCAGTATAATTTTTTACACTTTTCCGACAAATTAAAAAAATATTTATATAGTGAAAATTTATCTACAATATTTTGTGCAAGCTTTTTCACACATAATAAAAAATAAAAAAAATTTTATTAAAGAAATTAATGTCATAAACTATATGGAATCATATTTTTTATATATATCAATCGATTTCTGACAATATTGCATACAAAGTTGTAAGAGTAAAATATTCAAAAAATGAATAATTTGTGAGATATTTAATACTTTAATTTGACATAATCTTATATGTATAAATTATGATATATATATATATATATATATATATATATATATCTCGTAAAATACTCATTTTTTGATAATCTTACCTTAATATTTATGTATAAAATAATGAACAAAATTAATAAGTATAAAAAACATCTAGTTGTTTGTAAGAAAAAGTATGTATGTAGCTGCTAGTTGCAAATTACATACTTTTTCTTAAAAACAACTATATATTTTCTTTGATTTCTCTCGTTATTTCGTGCATAAAAATATTGAGGTAAAATGGACGAAAAATAAATATTTTATGAGATATTTTATTATGTATACAATTATGTCAAATTAAAGTTTAAAATATCTCGTAAACTATTTACTTTTTGATTATTTTACTCTCATAATTTTTTATGCAAAATATTATGAGGAACCAATTTATATATAAAAATATGATTCTATTTAAAAAATTCAAGGTGACATTGATATTTTTATTATATAATTTGTAAAAAAATTTTTTTTATTACATGTAATAGCTTGCGTAAAACAGATTAATTTTCACTTTATAAACTTTTTTTTAAACTGTCTGAAACCTTTCGAAAATTGTGCAGACCACCCTGTATACGTATTAATGCTCTTAACATCATTTTCATACTTTTTTGCGCGGTTCACGCGAAAAAGTCGTTTTATCTAAAACCATCATTAAGAAAGGAAATAAATCTACGATCTCCCAATACGTTGCTTATTCTCTCGCGCATTTCCGCCGCAATCACAATGAAGTGCCGGATACATGCTTGATCTCTCGGGAAAGAAGCGCGGCGGAATCGCATCCGTGTACACGTGGTTCATTGAACCTCGACGTCTTTTTACACGTAATCGGTCGTAAGAAAGAAAGCGTGATCGATGACTGGAGCTTTCTATTGCGCGAAAAGTGGCAAACGACCTATCTTTTTTTTTTTTCTTTTTTCGTTGCGATTCGCAACGTGTCTGTCTCGTTCTCGGATCTCGAAACTAGGTCGACGATTTAGCGTGGGTCGAGCAACGAATGTAAACCGATTCGGTTTTACGACGCACGTAAATGCATTATCGATGCGCACGTGCCGAATTATTGGCAGCCACGCGAATAACAACTTTTCTTTTTTCGTTGATTAGACGAAGCTCCGTCATTTTTTTAACTTGTTCTATTTTCCTTATTCTTTAAAGAAAAATCTAATTTGTTGGTGTTTTGAGAGTTATAAATGATTTAAACATTTTTCAAGAGCAATTGGCGACGACATATCTATACAATTTTGCAAGCTTATTAAATGAAATAATTGACATATGAGATTTATTTTTTTATAATATTCCAAACTTGTAAAGTAAATGAGTTTCAGAGATTACATATATTTTATACAAGATGCTTTTTATAAATAATAATTTAATCACATCTTTAATGCAATAAGGTCACATATAACGAATAATAATAATAATAACGAAATAAAATTGTAATAAAAAATATCAATAGAAGAAAGTTAACGGTATCAGCTATATATACGGGTACTTGAAATAGAATGCCGTTTTGCAATTCACCCGTAACTAATAAACGTACATATAATTGTACGATGCGGTATGCGCCGACACAAAAGAGTAAAAGTCCGGTCAGTTAAATATACCGATATGCAACCGCGGAGGGTTAAAGAAGGTTCCCCACAAACAGCTGTCTGTGTGTGATACGAAACGATAATCACTAATGTTATTGCTAATACGCGAATACGTACCGTTGCTGACGAGTTTTCAGCGAGATCTTTCGACGATTGCGTGATAAGTGGTATTTGTGATTTACGTTCTAATTATATCCGATAATGTCTACATTTATATATCTACCTACGAACTGTGCGCAGGAAATAATTTGTTAAGATTTCTCGCTGTTGCTCTTATCAGCTCGAAGATCGTAAAGATTGTTTTGTCTCGAAATATGTGGCTGATTAATTGATTCAATTTATTTTCAATTTATTGAAGAGATATTTTACCTGGACTTATAATATACATGCATAATAGAAATACAAACAATTATATTACTTATTGGAAAATTTAGAGAAATATCTTAGATTTTTAAAATATATATAATTTATAATTTAATATAAAATATATTAGTTTTTATTTTTTGTGTAATAGAATCGAAAGTAATATAGGTAATAATCATTTGTAGTTTTTTTATCTGTAAAATTAAAATCACGTTTTTTGATATAAAGTATTAGTATTTTGCGCAGCAAAATAGTGACTAGTTCGAGACAAAATCTCGCGTCTGCTTGATGGTTAGAGCGTTAAAACGCGCCTGTAAATCTTCGTCTAATCTCTACGACTATCTGCGAAGGTATTTGAAGTATCTTGAAATATATTGGCATATAAAATGCAAGGGCATTTGTTATTTCCGCAGTCACTCAATTAGTTGCATGGTTACGTCATGCTGTTCTGATGACGGAAAAGTCATTATCAACGAATTATACATCACATAAATATCGCACACATGCAACAAAACATGTAAAATATCTTATACACAGGATATGGATTAGATAAAAAAATTAAAAAAAAACCCATATCTTAAAGTATAGGCATATAAGAGAATTACTTTTGAAATATATATTTTATATATACGATTTATCTTTTTTCCTTATACATTTTTTATTTTTTATTTCATATTAATATTAATTATTTAATTAATTTTTTTCATAATTTTTTGCAGATATAATATACACATTTTTATTTTTTACAAGTTTTTGTAAATTTTTGCAAAACGTTCTTTAAAATGTCTACTAAAAGTCTACAGAAATACTGTACACTCTTTAATGTGCGTGTAAGGTATACTTTTATATTGGCCATAAATATTATAATAAAGGAATACCGTATAGTTTTCGTAAACTTTTATTTTTTCGGCTGATCGACATGTGTGAGGTGTATTTAAAGGTCGCTGACTCGTCGACCGGTGCGGTGAATGCGAAAATTCACTTTCGACTCTCGAAAGAAGCAGCATGCGGTATCGATCATCTGTTCTCG